GTGTGACCTCCGATTTTCAAATCACGATAGCACGTCCCACAGACCGCGCACATCTATATAATACATATCGCATGATTCACAATTGCCTGCCCTATTGCGTGATATACATACCAGGGTCCGACGTTACACACATCAAAAATTATTACTACAAATCTAGGTGAGAACGTATCTTACCACAGATCCAGAAAATCGATCGCTCGTTGCTGGTCATTTGCAAAAAGAAGATAAAAGTAAGAGACAGGTTGCTTGGTTACCACCCGTTGCTATGGATTTATGTTTAATCGGAGCACAGTAGTTTAATTATATCATAACGCTAGTGCTGAGGTGTATTTGAATACCGATTAGCCTTATCCTTTTATGCCGTTTAAGATGCCAAATGCACCCATCCTTTATCACCTCTCAGTAATCAATAGTAAAACAAGATAGCGATTCTTTTTGAGCAGATGGTAAACGATATTAGGTCTCATGTATTACTTTATTTCATCCATTCGATGCCATAACCACTATAGGTAAGCCAAGTAGCTAAGCTAACAATATACCTACACAAGTATAATTGAACCCAAAAAGGGATTCAACAACGATGCTCCGATCGACGCCAACACCGCTATATGGCTGTATATGGGTGTTGGACCCATGCATACACTTGCGTAATGTCGTTGTGTAATGCGAATGTGTGTCCTCGAATTGAACTAGTACAATTTTGAATGCTAAAATTGCAGCCATACAATTTGATGTCCTTGAATTGTACGCTAACAATTGCTATCCTACAATAAAGGATGATCTCATTAGCTACATTCTCTCCTTATCTTTATATTGAACCCCGCTTAAAGTATTACATCAACAATGAAAATACTCTTTGATCTTTTTCTTCGCTCCTGGTCAAAACTGCTCACAAAATCTGCCACCATCCATTCCTATGTCTGAAGATGGTTCTCATCATATACCTCCTTCTACATTGGACCATTAAGGATGATGGCACCTGTTTTCCAAAAAATTCAAAAATCAAGCGTAGGCATACACGAAGACATGCACAAGACATTATTTTGCTTCTAAGTTCCTCACTCATTCATTGTCAAGTCACTGGTTACCTTCTTCTAAAAATAAATCAACAATCCTCTTACAGCAGCACCCTTAGCAACTTTATGCACATTGCCTAGGAGAAATACCAAAGCCATAACGCACAGGCTCTCCTCATAATAAACCAATGGTCTTCTTGCAATGACACGATTACTAACTTCATCCATCATGTATAGCAGACATCCTATAAGAAAGATCTCCACCTACTTCTAATAAAAAATCAACAATCCACCTGCAACATTTACTAGCAGCCTGCAACGCCCATTATGCCTGGAGGAAGGAACTATAAGCACAACGCCAACTATGGTATTGCTGTGAACAACATCCCTTGCACTAGCACCTTTGCAAATTTCATCCACACTACCTAGGTGCAAGAAGATAGGAACAACAATCTATCAGCGTTGAACACTATTACCAAGGCCTTGGCGCACCAAAACATCAGAGCAACATACATGGCGGACCTCACAATACCTCAAGCCAACGGAGATGTTGATTGCCCTAGGACCTACAATCTCTATTTAAAAGGAGTAATCATGATGTTGTTCAGCTCTTCAATCTTTTTCAATGCCAACTAACAAACGATCCTCCAATAGTTGCGACTCGTGCTCAAAACCTACAACCCACATATAGTTGTCTGGCCCCATCATTGCGGGTAAGTCCCCTGCCCAACTCAAAAGTGAGTTGGGAAGATGTGCTGTGGCACAACCAATCTACGTGATTAAAAACTCCCTTGAACAAACGTGAGCTATTAGAACTTCATTACTTACATGTGCCTAACTTGCTTTTTTTTGGTAGTTGGGCGATGCTCCATTTTGACAATCAAGATGACACCAATATTTTGTGGGACATGCACCATAACCGAAATCATCCACTTTGCCCGGTCACCATGCCAGGTGTTGTCTTGAACCCTGCTTTCATTCCCAATACGTTGCCAAGACGACATGTAGTTTATGTATGTTAGGTATTTTTTGCTCATCCCATCCCACCACAACCAAATCTTACCATGAAGTTTTTTTATTTGATTATACTTGCACAAGGTAGAAATAGCCATCGAACGGTGTTTGGGTTTGGCTGGGGATGTGTTGTGTTGGGGCCAACCTGTGAATGATAATGATACCCATGGTCCCCCACTATCCGCATCATCACCCTAGACAAGTTTCAAGATGTCAAACTTTTCATCCTCATCCCTGTGGGACAGCACTCAAGCATTAGAAAGAAAAAGGGCTTTTGAACAACGAGAGCTCAAGCGAAAAATGAAAGTGGATCAGGTATTGGTGGAATCAATGATGGATACACACGTAATGAGATGATTAAGGTGGTTGAGGAATGCCCTCTACTTCCGATATACTATAAGCAACATACGATGCTATCATCTGGTATACTTTGATTCCATGATTTTTCTATTTTTCCTTCTTAAATATCATCCCTAGGGCTGATGCCTATATCCTATGTGATCTTTAAGGTCTAGTAGCTCCTATTAGAGGTAATGTCAGAGAGCATTAAGAAGGGCAGCTATTGGAAGGCGGTTCTAATGAACTAATTGCACCCTCTAGGTCCTTTATTATAGCAAAAGCAAGGCCTACCTATTGGTAGCATTGCTTTTGCTGATGTTGTGTAATAGAATGCTACCTTAAATGTACTTGCTCTTCACATTTTTCTTCTTATCTTTGTAATCCATGTGCTTGTTCAATGTCAAAAGACCTAAACTTTAAAGCTTAGACCTATGTAGAGAACAGCATGCAATATCATTTACTTTTACCTATGTCTTTTGGTACCTACGATTTCAGCATTATGTTCCGGTAGCAAAAAAATCAAAATCAAACATCGATCTTTAGAGAATTATATACCTGTAACCATTTCCTTAGAGCTACAACTATCTAGCATCTACAATTTTTCATCCTAAACCTCTTAGAACTACGTTAGCACTATTTTCAGTTCCATATACAAGAACATACTATTAATGGGAACAATGATCGTAATCATTGGGGATATACTTTAGGTATACAGATCGCTGCAAGCATAAGTACTTTAGGGGCAAAAATCAAAGGATCCTTTTGCATAATGGATTAATGGTTTTACTTCAACACTTTAACCTGCTTTATAAAGAAAGCGTTCACAGCTTGGTAAGTTCTAACCTGCAATCTGCAATGATAGACAATGAAGGAAGCAAGGAAAAGCAAACCAATGCAGTGGTGCGGCTGCAAGAATTGCGGGACTCGGTAGGTCTAGGGAGGCATTTATTCAACATGCCAGGCGGTGGAACAACAGTGCAATGACTATTTATTAGCCGATAAACCTTCCTCGCGAGGAACATACGTAGCGGTGGATCATTTTACAACAATACTCCCCCATGAATCATTGGGCAAGAACATGCTTCCTTTCATGGACTTGTGGCAAGCAAAGATTCGCAACAAGGAAATTTAGAAGGACTCTTTCTACCTCTTCTGCTATCATGTTTATGGTGCTTTTGGATCAATTGCGCAGGATCTTCTTACAAGACTCAGTATTGCTGAAAGACTTTTACCCACAACATTACTTCTGTAACCATTCTTTGCTTCCCGATCAAGAGACCTGCATTTTAAAAGGTGCTTGGCATGGCTACTTAATGATTCCTTAATAGTTCTTTAACAGCTGCTTAAGAACTTTACGTCACGCCTGCTAATTTGGAACTTCTAGGAGCTGTGCCTATCATGTATCATCCAAGCGAACCCTCTGATACCAATTACTAACTTGCTGCTCAGGAAGATTCAATCACCAGTGCTCTTTGGGAGCAAACAGAGGACCTCGAACATGTTGTCCACAATGCCATTTCAAACACTATTGGAGATCAACTCCAGCAATTGGTTCAACGTGTCACAGACGTTCTTTCTAGAAATCATCTTTGGAAGAGGTGCATACCAAGCATGTGTAAAGTTCAATCAATGGGAAGATACACCTACCAACATTGGCAATGATGATTGTATGACAACTTAGTTCTTCAGGTAGATAAGATTGAGGAAAAGGCGAAAGCCCCTTGATTGAGCTTCCTACCATTGTTGTCCTAGATGTGGAGGGTACTCCAGGCTTGGTCAAAAACAACACCAATGCTTGGTACAAGTTGCAATTGAATCTTCCCAATGAGGTGTCTACTCGCCATCGCTTTTGTATAGGTCGATTCTCATCATCTTCTTCATAGACACCATGTAAAGTTAATGTTCATCCATGGTAATGGTAATCTCCTCAACAGGAATGCATCTATGACTTCAATAGGCAATCTTGACATAGCACCCGCCAACACATTCAAACCATCAGGCATGCATCGGATTGCGAAATCATACATTACCAAAGCTAGCATCTATCATGATACTCGTGCCGACGTGTTCTCTTGGGAAAGAAAGGAGTAAATCAACCACAGATAACAATGAAAGGGATCTTGTGAGAATGACATTTTCTCAAGAAAGCTATCGATCATCTTATATACTTTTAGGTGAGACATGAGACATGTTTGGCTATTATTGCACCAAGGCAGCAAAGGTATTAATGCATGATTGTTTAGGACAATGTGTTTGTTTCATTGCATTTGTGTTGCATGAGTCTTCAAGCAACCAATTAAGTAAGAGGTCAACCACATTGATAGCCTCGTGATCTCTTTCGTATCATACCCCATTTGTCTTCTCTCAGCATTCCACATGTCAATCTATCTGAAATTGAAAACTCAACTATACAACCGCCCATGTTCTACAACTTCGATTAGTGACCTAAGGTGATCAGAGAGTATATGAAACATGCCCCTTTAGCCCACACGAGCGAATTTTTCTCTCTTTCTCGACAATTCACAAGTCAACATCACCTGAAGCTTGGTTTACTACTATAAAAGTCGCCACTTTGGTCAACTTTGACTATGGAGTCACAGCGCTCAGAGTCAAGCCTAGTCCTATACCATTTGAGCACGTGATCTCTTTCATATGACCTTCTAGTAGTTGTATCTCAGCATCCTACATAGCAACGTACCTTCAAATTGAAAACGCAACGATAAAGCCGCCCTTGTTCTACAGATTTGGTTAGTGACCCGAGTTGAACAGAGATGATATGAAACGCGTCCCTTTAGCCCACACGAGCGAATTTTTTCTCTGTTTCTCGACAATCTACAACTACACGTCACCTGAAATTGTGTTTACCACTATAAAAGCAGTCATTGTCGTCAACTTTGACTAAGGCGTCACAGTGGTCAGAGTCAAGCCTAGTGCGATACCTCTTGAGCACGTGATCTCTTCCATATGAACTTCTATTAGTCGTATCTCGGCATCCTACATGTCAACCCACCTTGAAACTGAAAACTCGACTATAAAGCCAACCTTCGTCTACAACTTTGCTTAGTGACTCAAGTTGATCAGACAAGATAAAAAACATGACCCTTTAGCCCACACGAGCGAATTTTTTCTCTGTTTCTCGACAATTCACAAATGAACGTCACCTGAAATTTGGTTTATAAATAGAAAAGCAGTCCTTATCTTCCACTTTGATTAATACATCAACGCGATTGGACACGATTCCGGGATGGTTGCCAATCACAACATGGTATCCATAGATACCGGGTGAAATCGGTTGCCATGGAGCGCCGCTTGAAATTTACAATTTTAACAGGGTCAAACCAACTTTTCCTTTTTTCCCACCTCTTTTTATCACTTGCTATTTGTTGCCATGTTGTTCTCCCAAGATCTCTCCGAGGCCCTTACCCTTTGCACCCAGCTATTGCTGTTCCTGCTCCTGATCATCATGATCCATATTGGCGATGAAGGCCGTGTTGTCGTGTGGCGCGCACTTTGGTGTTGCTTCTGGTGCTCCTGTGTCATCCTTTTTCTTGGCACAATTTGTTTCGTTTGGTGGTGTGGTGACCGTGCCGGTGCCCGAAGTGGTATTTCTTTCGTGGCTTGGATGGCCCAGCATTCCCGCAAGCATCGTTCTCGTGGTGGTTCCTTCTCGTCCTCCGTGGCCTTAGTGCCTTCGTCGCCTTCTGTGCCTCAAGAGCCAGTTGTGCCTGCTATTGCCAATGTGCCATGTGCCATTGTGCCCATTGTCTGTGCCCATGAGCCAGCTTCTGCCATTGTGCCTTGTGCCAATGTGCCTTTTATTACGCCTTCTGTGCCTCAAGAGCCAGTTGTGCCCGCTTCTGCCAATGAGCCTCGTGCCATTGTGCCTTCCTCTCTTGCCAATGTGCCTCGTGCCATTGTGCCTGCTTTTGCCAATGAGCCTCGTGCCATTGTGCCTTCCTCTCTTGCCAATGAGCCTCGTGCCATTGTGCCTGCCCCTGCTCCTCTTCTTGGTGTCGCTGCGCCTGTTCCTGCCACCACCATCACTGATGCCGATGTTGATCACCTTGGTAAGTATTGAAAATAATGGTTGATAAGGTAGTATTATCTCACATGCATCGTCTAAAACATAGTTGACACATTCCAGGCCCTTTCCTTGTTTGATGTGGATGCCGACCTTGGTAAGTAAGGCTATGAGGATATGGGGTCTGATATCGTGTATACTCATACAGGGATTTTGGATACATTTAGCTCCCATCTTTTCAACTTTGACCACCTTTGACCCATATGACGAGGATGCCTACATGCGACCTCCTGTAGACATCCCTTATCAGGAGCCGTTGTGGCTCACTGCCATCACGTTGAGCGACTTTATGGATGTCACCGACGACATGGATGCTTGTAAGTATAAACACATGCGCCGATGTAATCCTTTTAGCACTCGTTCTAATATGCATCATGATCTTTTATAGCCTTGTCTCCTCTTCCTTCGCCTCTTCCTATTCCTCCTTCTTCCGCTTTTGGTGCCCCTGTTGATGTTGACCCCATGGATGTCATTGACGACATGGATCTTGGTAAGTATATGTACATGAGTTACTTTACTCTTTTTGCGCTCGTTTTAATATGCATCATAACTTTTATAGCCTTCTCTCCTCTTCCTTCGCCCTTACTTTCTCCTCTTCTTTTCGCTCCTGGTGTCCCTGTGGATGAATTGTATGACCCAATTCCCATGTATCTTGGTAAGTATGAAATCCTATCTATCATGCTATGTGTATGGACAACCATCTAATATGGCTTAAATCTAGATCCCGCTTCTCCTGTTCTTCCTCTTTTGCCCGAACCTATGCTTGCCACTCCTTTTGTTCTTCCTCTTCCTGCTACTGTTACGCCACCTATGCCATCACCTGAAGCTCTCCTTATGCCACCACCATCACCTCCGCGTCCTCAAGCTTCTCCAATCACCTCCGCTTCCTCATCGCCATCATCATCATCATCATCATCATCATCATCATCCTCATCATCATCGTCATCCTCATCCTCATCCGCATCATCATCACCATCACGTTCATTAGCACCCTCACCACCATCACGACCACGATCACCTTCACCATCACCACCATCACGACAACGATCACCACCACCCTCGCCATCATTATCGTTGTCATCAGGGGTGTCGTCATTGGCACCATCAGTATCATCATCGGCGTCCACTGTTCTTTACAACGTGGATGACGATGATGATGACTGAGAGTTGGGTCGCTTTTCGGTAAGTTCAAGCATACGTTTGTATTTGAAACTATTGTTTATGTATTCCTATTTCACATACAGGCCGCGTCGTCCGGTGCTTCTTGTTTGGAGCGTTAGGGATGGGATACCCTGCAGTCCAGTCTCAAGGTGTGGAAGATTCTCAGGTACGTTCAGCTTCATGTGTGATGAGTGAAAGGATCGGCATGTAGGTTTCGCGGTGGGAGGATCTGGAGGGTCATCGATGACGCTACCTTGGGTGCCGAAAGGTCCAACGAGAAGTTCCTACCTCTATCCATGTTCCAGCAAGCTATGAGCAAGTCCTTGTATGCCTACGTCCTCTCATGGTCTATCTGTCATGTTGCCCACTGGGGTATTGGATTGGGTCTTGAAAAGGTAAAACAAAATACTGGTATTGTTTTGTGATCCATTTGCTTACATGATATCCTTTTACATTGTGGGGGCCCATCATGGTGATTGATACTGTGATGTGTCCCTGCATAGTGACACCGCCTTTACATGTTGGATGATCATGTTTTGGCACAAGCGGTAATCATCTTTGAAGTGGGTACATACTTGAAAAGGAGCATCAAGACATGGCGGGCAAGGCATCGTAGCCTGGACTTCGAAGAGATGGAACGTCGTTGGACCCGGTGCTCTTGGTGCAGAGGATAAGACTTTGAAGGATCCGTGGGTGGGAAAGAGGCCTGCATGTCGCTTCCTTTCACTCTCCCATGGAGTTGGATGTGCCTGGGATGACGCCATGTCTTGTTTCTGGGTCTGTGGGGTATCCCTGTGAACAGGTTATGGTCATGCGTTATGGTATGTATTCATGTGTGAGTGTTTACATTTAACAAAGTACTCATGAATATCTCTTTTCAATATAGGCCTTGTGGCCCTTTTTGGGCGATCGTTGTAGCAGCGGCAGCTGTTAGGGAGCGTGAGAGTTCTCTTTTCTTTTTATTGGTGCCTCGTTGCCGATTTGGATCTTCAACATTTGGTGACACGATTGGTGACATTCAAGAGTTCTCTTTTCTTTTTATGCATGGCGGTATTCACTTGGCACAATTGCCAACACTGGTTCATGGCACAAAGCTCCCTTTCCTTTTTTGGATGGCGTTACCCTTTATGGACACGACGGTCGTCATGGAGACACAAATTTCCTTGTTTGGATGGCGGGACATGATGCATGGCAACCCAAGCAAGACGAAATGCAAGATGTTCTCTTCTCTTCATGACTAGCAAGGCAGCAACGCAATTACATGCGGGCATTCAAGTTTAGATCCATGTTTCAAAACACTGGTGCTCTCTCTCCCTCTCAAGCTTTGGGATGCACATGGAATTTACAAAGGATCGAATGAATCAAGCTTGTATATGACAGCAAGTATGGATTACTATTTTGGGGAAGGTGTCTCCATGGTCATCAAGATGGCTATCAGCAACTTTTGGATCGACGTTAATTTATGAAAACGGTGCACAAAAAGGATCAATTCAAGTATCAGCAACTTTGCATCGACGTTTATTTATGAAGACGTTGGTGCACAAAAAGGATCACTGCAAGCATCAGCTCTACCCTCCTGGTGGTTACGGATGACTGATTCAACTGGCATCATAGGCTACATACGACGGACCACTTGTCACATTATCATGGCAACTTTATCCTTGGGCAATAATGAGGAGACTACAAGCATATGTATCCTTGATTGGGTGATGGCAGCAACATCAGCATTCCAATTCGCATCTTGGCAGACACATCAAAGTGTGGTTTGGCATATCGGAGGCAAGGCATGTTTGCGGATACCATGCTTTCAAATGGGTGGCACATTGGAGCTATGGCTTTATATTGGTCCTTTGCATCCTCGACACAGTACTCGCACACGAGGGTTACCATTCAAACATACATGGACCATATGGCGTTCCATGAGCATTTACATTTCAAGTCTGGGTTTTCTCTACAATGTCATGGCGATTCAAAATCTGCCGGTGGTCTGGTCTATGGTCCTTTTCAAATCATTGGGGCTTCATGCATGAATATGGATAACATTATGAAAACACAAATCGCATTACCAACATGGTCGACGCTGCAGCCAAAGTCAACAACTCCAAAATCAGCTATGAAAAACGTACGTATATGATACCAGCGCTGCCCTTTAACCATTTAACTTACCGTATGATTATATAGATCCAATCATTACATGCCCCTATCATGCAACAACGGTTCTGGTGATCGATTCTGGATTTCCTATGCACAGCAATTGCACGATTCCACATCTCAAATCAAATCAACAAAAGGCTCTCTATTCTCTCTTACGCGCATACACTCTCATCAATCACTCAATCAGCGCGACATCAAACTAAAATCACAAACATCAAAGTAAGTGTTGGTGGATTGGACGTTGTATAGAGGTCCATGTATTAACAAAGGTATTATACAACAAAACAAGCCTAGACAAAAACGTCAATGGCATCAAGACCAATCTCGGGGATATGTATCGGTTTGTCATTCAGGGTCACAGGGCACCGTGCGGCCACCGATTAAGAGTCGCCTGGCCGTTGGGTGCCGTGCTGAATCGGTTCGACAATCCCGACATCACTCGAGTTGGCATTCAATCTCATCAAATCCAAAAGAGCCTGAAAAAGAAGTACGTATATGGATATCAACATTATGAATGGACACCAAAATCTCATCAATGATGTGTAGAAATCAACATACAAGAAAAAAAGAAAAAACAAGAAAAAGTGGGACTTGCAAGAACTGTGCTGGGAGGGCTAGGATCACGCTGGTGCCGGTGTTGGACCACGAATCGCTCTAAGCTACCACAAGCAAAAGAATACTGAGAATCATATATGATGTCGTCATGGCAATGGGTAAGTACATGTGAGCTATAAAACTTGCTATGCCATTACTTATATGGTTATGATAGGTCGATCATTATACACGTCAAAAATGTTATGAGGGCATCATCATCTATCGGTGCTATATACAAGAAGGAATGAAGAGAACTCAAATCTGAAACACGGTGAAGGGTCATTTACGTGAATGAACAATCATACAAGCATACAAGGTGTATTGGCAAGGACGTCGTAAGTATCATTGTGATTCATCAACATGCATCCATACTAATCCCCAGGCCATGTGATAGTGGACGCTGGATTAAAAGAAATTGCAGGAAAGGATGGGTGGCCTGCGTTATCACAGCATTGCTCTTTGGCGATAGGAGCACTCGTTGATTGGTGGTGGTCAACAAGGCATTACCGGACGTCTCGACAACTCAATGTTATACCATACACATGCACCTCATTTAGAAAACAAATAAGCATATTCATTATAAGAAATCATAGCTGATGCTAGCCTTAGAGGCATTTATTTATTAAACATATCAAACATGCTGTACATCATTGGATATAGGTATGGGTCTGCTGCCTTGAAAGCGTAAAGACTTGAAAGAGTAGCTATCATCTACATTGGCAGGACCAAGTCACGTCCAAGCATAAATACTTTGTCCAGGTGCGCTCCCAGTCAACAATCACTCTTTCTCTTTATTTGAACGACACTCTTTTCTATGCTTGACACCTCTCTCTAAACCTTCACTTTTACTGCTTGTCCACATTGCTCTTGCGTCATTCTCCATCTCCCAACTGAAACGTATCAGCATTCGTCTCCTTCGTTACGCATCATCGCTACAACAACAACAACTTCTGGTGACTCATCCCTTGCTTCTTCTCGTTTCAGCTTCCTGTTTGATACCACGCTAACCAACTTGTACGTTTGACAATGACACCTCCACTGAACAACAATCGCCAACAATGAGCCTTGCTTCAGCTTCTTCAGGATCTTGCGAACACAAGAATCTTGGCGGGTCCCAAAACCACCAAGCACGGCTATGGAATATGAACGCTCTACGAGTCAACAACGTCAATATGATATTCTTGCAGAGATATACCCTCCGGCATGGTTAGAGAAATTGGTATGGTAATATCATGAAAGTGGATGCTGCTAGGTTGCAAACAACGGTTGCTTCGTTCAAGCTGCTCATCATGACCTCCATCTTCATCTTCTTCAACAAGCAGGTCTTCAATCAACAAGCTCCATTACGTTTTTGGGGTGGGTATGTGGATCGTCAGGGGAATCTAGCAAGCAACACGATATGTATTGGTCAAGCAGTCCTTTATCATCCATCCTCAAGTTGTTCTTAGCTCTTGGCTTCGAATGTCGTAGAATGGTAAGATGGTTTTCGGAAGTCATGTTGGTTGTGGAGTACTCGATGCTGCAGGTATACATTGGGGAGATGAGGTACGTTTGGATGATGGATATTGTGGATACCCTTCTTCAAGGTGGATGGATCAGGTTTTGTATGGATGTATTCGCGCAATCGAGGGAGCTATTTGCTCTGGAAGAAAAGGAATGGATATACCAAGAGGTACATGCGGTGAAGGTGGTACTGTTGGTCTTGGTAGCTATGTTAGGGTAGCGTTTTGTTCTCTGAAAATAAAAATGATGGCTATATAATTCATAAGCTTGTATATACATTGACATCCTCTGCTATGATATCTCCATCAATGCACAAAAACGATCACCCAACCACTTTCTCGTCTAACACCCCTTAAGCATCATCCAATACATCTCTTGCAGCAGATGATATCAACGGCTTTACTTCCGAATTGAACCGTCAAGTTATACACATCCCCTTGACCCAGGTGTCACAGCGCACCAGCAAGCAAAGATACAAGAAGCAATCCGCTTAAGGTAGACTCTCACCCTTTTTTCAATGTTCGTCAAATACGAGAACTGCCTTGTACGCCAAACATACCCTTTTTTGTTGTAGCGTAGCTGCCTTTCGGGTTTCCTTTAAGCTCATGGATAATGTTTATTGTTGTTGTCAGCTTGTCTATCACAAACCTGATTTATGCAACGACATTCAATCACACCATGACTCTTCGTTTAGAAGCCCAAACAATCTATCAGTTGACTTTGCTTCCACCATCCTTCATTCTGAGTACGATTGCCCAATGCGATTTGATGCTTGATTGTTGATATCAAAGGTGGTCCAATAGTGAGAGTAGGTTGACAACATGGTACGTCCCCCGTGGAATAATGGGGATATGCATTATGGGTACAAGTGATTGATTTCCCTAAGAAGTTTTATCAGCTGTCCTAGTTTGGCCACGTATGCATAGACAACATTACACCTAGGCTCCTCAAACTTATTCCTGGTATATGCGCCCTATCAGTTTATCAGCTCATGCATCAATTTATCAATGCATCATCCCCAACAGAAAGAAAAACCCACGCCCACAGTAAACAATAAAAGGATGTTGTCGCCGCCCGTCATACTCCCGCACGTCTCTTTCCTCTCTCATTCGTCTTTTTTGATTGCCTACAAGATCAAATCATCAAGGTTTGTGTGTATCACACCTTTCAACCTGTAAATAAGCGCTAATTTTTGCGGTCATTCATAGGGCTTCTTTATTATCCTGCTCTCATTGTTGTCACCGAGCTTATTGTGTTCTGTTGGATCGCTATAAAAAAGGTAAAGCCTGATGATGTTGCTTCATGAGTCACTACTCATACACCCACCTTGTTACTTTGGATATAGCTATCTCCCTTGATGCATCTTCAAAAGTTGGTGCTATGGTCCACGTCTGGAGCTGAAATTGAATAGCGCATTTGACAGGGTGCAAATACCAACGTCCTCCTCTTCACCGATTCCCCATTTCTTACAACAAGTGGATTCGACAACATGCGAGTCCAAGATCAAACACTTCTTTACACCGATACCAAGGCCACGATTGACGACATGCTGCCCAATGTGGGTCAATGGGAGGTGCTGAATCTACACCATGAGCGCTTGCCTGGTTGACACACACGACCTATCAGCTACAATATCAAACAAGGATTGACGGGCATATCCTGCAAGGCCACACAATGAGGTAAGGACGGCTTGTATGATGGCATGGGTTCCTTCACTAACAGCTATAGCATTTCTATATAGCCAACAAGGGATACGACTACCAAGGCATGCGTGCTTCTTGTACGCTGTTGATCCATCTACATGAGGATGGCGAACTTGGTAAGTCTAAAGGCTATGGCGATATATGGCTTATTATTGTATATACTCACATAGACATTTTCGATACCTTCAGTGCCAATCTTTGAACCTTTGACCACTTTTGATGCGTATATGCGACCTGCCATTGACGTTCCATACCAAGAGCCGTTGTATGTCACAGGTGGATGCTGGTAAGTATAGATGCACGAGTCGATGCCGTCCTTTTTGCATTGTTCTTATATGCATTATTATCATTATAGCCTTCTCATCTCTTCCTTCGCCTGCCCTCAGCCGTTAGTTCCCTTCCTTCCGCTTTTCGTGTCCATGGTATTGTCGTTCAACCACCTGAGCCTGTTCAATGAACCTTTGTAAGTATAAAATCCTATCTATCACGCTATATTCATGGGCAGCTATCTAATACAGCTCAAAGTTAGATGCCGCTTATCCTATTATTCCTCTTTTGCCCACTGTTGCTATTACATCACCTATGATCACGCCCATCCTTGACGCCACTGCTTTTGTCTCTCCTCTTCTTCCTACTACTACCACGCATATGCCATCCCGTGAAGCTTCTATGTAGCAGCTTACGCCATCACAAACACCACCACGCCCTCAAGCTTCTACCATCGCCTCCTCCTCATCGTCACAGCAATCCGCTTCACCAATACCATCACTTTCACCGCCATCCCCACCACGATAATCAGCACCATCTCCATCTTCACTGTCATTGTCATCAGGGGTAATCATTGTCACCGTCATCAGTATCATCAACAGCATCAACTATGGCTTACGACGTGTATGAAGTATGTGATTGAAATGTGCTGTCTTTTCGGTGAGTCCAAGCGTGTATATATATTGGAAGTATTATTTACATATTGCTCTTCCACATAGAACGCTATTGTTTTGGCTCTTCGTTGTTGGAGTGTGATGGATGGGATACCATGTGCGTATGGTCTATAGGACCCGACTTGGCATTACTCATATCGTCATTGATAACTCGATCACTGTGCACGTCAAAAATGTTATCAAGGTATGAACATCTTTCGGTCAAATAATACAAGAAGCAACGAGGAGACGTCAAAGCTGAAGCAAATACAAAGGGATCATTTCCAAGAATGGATAAGCACGTAAAATAAGCATACCAAAGACATGGTGTATTGGCAAGGACGTGGTAAGTATCATTGATCCACAATGTGATTCATCAGCATATAAACTAATGTCTGGGTCATGTGATAGCGAATGCTGGATGAAAAGACATCGTTGTGGAAAAGGGTGGATTTCCTTTTTTCCCCACCTCTTCTTATTGCTCTGTTTCTGTTACATGACGTTTTCCAAAGATCTCTCTCAAGATTTCTCCGAGGCCCACTGCAACTTTTTTGGCGATTATCTCGTCCATGGAAAACTGCTCTTGTTGCTGATTGTGATCTTTATGATCTATATTCGTAAAGAAGGCCGTCTGGTGGTGTGGCATGTCCTTTGGTGTTGCTTTTGATAGTGAGTTGTTGTCCTTGGTGATGGCGCAATTTGTGTTATTTGATGGTATGTGGACCCTTCTGGTTCCCGAAGTGGTATCTCCTTCGTGGCCTGGATGCAACAGGGTTCCCATCAGCGTCGTGGTGCTTCTTTGGTGTCGTCTTCTGTGGCCTTAGTGCCTTCATCTTCATTGCCTTCTGTGCCTCAAGAGCCAGCTGTGCCTTCCTCTGCTGCCAATGTGTCTTGTGCCATTGTGCCTGTCGTCTGTGCCCATGTGCCAGCTCGTGCCATTGTGCCTTGTGCCAATGTGCCTTCAATGCCTTCTGTGCCACAACAGCCAGTTGTGCCCGCTTCCGCCAATGTGCCTCATTCTGCCAATGTGCCTCGCGTCATTGTGCCTGCTCCTCTTCCCGTTGTTGCTATACCGGTTCCCGTTGCCACCACTACCGATGCCGATGTTGCTCACCTTTGTAAGTATTGGAAATCATGATTAATAAGGTATACATTATCTCACATTCACTATGTACAACATAGATGATGCATTCAAGGCCCGATCCTTGGTGGATGTCGGTGAGTTTGGTAAACTTTAAGGTTATGGTGATATATGGTTTATGATTGTATATACTTACATAGGCATTTGGGATACTATTAGTGCCACTTTTCGAGACGTTGACAGTTGCCGATGCCTATGACGAGGACGTGTACATGCGACCTCCCGTCGATGTCCATTACCAGGAGCCATTGTGGCTTGCTGGCATCATCTTGAGTGATTTCATGGACGACACGGACGACATGGATGCTTGTAAGTATTATATATACATGGGTCAATGTAATCTGTTTGGTACTCATTCTCATATGCATCATAATCTTTATAGCTTTCTCTCCTCTTCCTTCGCCACTCCTTACTCCTCTTCCTTTCGCTCCTGGTGTCCCTGTTGTTGCTTCACCTGAACCTGTTCCTATGTATCTTGGTAAGTATGAAATCCTATCCACCACCCTATATATATGGACAGCTATCTAATATGGCTCAAATGTAGATTCCGCTTCCCTTGGTATTCCTCTTTTGCCCGCACCTATGCATACCACTCCTATCGCACGACTTACGCCCTCACCAATCCTTGTTGCCACTCCTTTTGTTCATCCTTTTCGTACTACTACTACGCCTATGCCATCCCCTGAAAACTTTATGCAGCAACCTATGCCACCGCCATCACTAAAACGTCCTCAACCTTTCACCATCGCCTCCGCCTCTTTATCACCATCATCATCACCATCATCACCACCATGAACGGCATCCATTGTGCCATACGACGTGTATAATGAAGATGGCGATTGAGAGATGGATGACGTCTTTGGTAAATTCAAGCATGCATTTATATTCGAAGCTATTGTTTACATATTCCTATTTCGTATCCAGGGCGCTTCGTTGGGTGCTTCATGGTTGGAGTGTTATGAATGGGATACCCTGTTCATATGGGCTTTAGGACCTGCCTTGGCATTATTCATATCGTCACTGGTAAGTCGATCATTGTGCACATCAAAAATGGTATCAAGTCTTGATCATCTATTGGTCCAGTAACACCAAAAGCAAGGAGGATCAGCCAAAGCTGGGGAAAAGATGAAGGATCATATCCAACAATGGACAGCATGAAAAACAAGCATACAACAGTCAAGGTGTATTGGCAAGGACGTGGTAAGTATCATTGATCCACAATGTGCTTCATCAGCATGTAAACTAATGTCTGGGTCATGTGATAGCGAATGCTGGATGAAAAGACATCGTTGCGGAAAAGGGTGGATTTCCTTTTTTTTCCCACCTCTTCTTATTGCTCTGTTTCTGTTACATGGCGTTTTCCAAAGATCTCTCTCAAGATTTCTCCGAGGCCCACTGCAACTTTTTTGGCGATTATCTCGTCCATGGAAAACTGCTCTTGTTGGTGATTGTGATCTTTATGATCTATATTCGTGAAGAAGGCCGTCTGGTGGTGTGGCATGTCCTTTGGCGTTGCTTTTGGTAATGCGTTGTTGTCCTTGTTGATGGCGCAATTTGCGTTGTTTGATGGTATGTGGACTCTGCTGGTGCCCGCAATGGCACATGATTTATCGCATGGATGGAGCAGCGTTCCCGTACGCGTCGTGGTGTGTCTTCGGTGTCGTAGTCTGTGGCCTCAGTGCCTTCTTCTATTGCCAACGTGCCTCACGCCATTGTGCCTGCTCCTCTTCCTGTTGTTGCTGTGCATGTTCCCGTTGCCACCACCACTGATGCCGATGTCGATCACCTTTGTAAGTATTGCAAATCATGGTTAATAGGGTATATATTATCTCACATTCACTATGTATGACATAGGTGCGGCATTCGAGTCCCTTTCCTTGGTGGACTTGGGTGAGCTTGGTAAGTTTTAAGGCTATGGCGATGTAGAGGTTATTATTGTATATACTCACATAAAGCATTTTGGATACTTAGTACCTATCTTTGCAACATTGACGGTTGTCGATCCATTTGATGACGACACCTACATGCAACCTCCCATTGACGTTCCGTACCAGGAGCCATTGTGGCTTGCTGCCATGCGCTTGAGCGACTTCATGGACGACACGGACTACATGGATGCTTGTAGGTATACATTCATGAGTCAATGTCTCTTTTCTACATTCATTCTAACATGCATCATAATCTCTATAGCTTTCCCTCCACTTCCTTCGCCTCTCCTTCTTCTTTCCTCCGTTTTTGGTGCCCCTGTGGTTGTTGATCCCATGGACATCATTGATGACATGGACCTTAGTAAGTATACATACATGGGTTAATGTAATCTGCTTGGCACTCATTATCATATGCATCATAATCTTTATAGTTTTCTCTCCTCTTCCTTCGCCACTCCTTACTCCTCTTCCTTTCGCTCCTGGTGTCCCTGTTGTTGCATCACCTGAACCTGTTCCTATGTATCTTGGTAAGTATGAAATCCTACCTACCACCCTATGTACATGGACAGCTATCTAATCTTCGTTTAAAATTAGATTCCGCTTCTCCTGTCATTCCTCTTTTGCCCGCACCTATGCCATCACTTGAACTTCTTATGCCACCAACATCACCTCCACGTCCTGAGCTTCTCCCATCACCTCCGCCATCTCATCACCTTCATCATCATCATCGCCATCACCTTCACATCCACCATCACCACCATCACCATCAGCCTCGCCATCATTGTCGTTGTCATCAGGGGTGTCGTCATTATCACCAGCATTCGTATCATCATCGGCTTCAACCGTGCCTTATGACGTGGATGACTATGATGATGATTGAGAGATGGGTGCTGTTTCGGTAAGTTCATGCATTGTATATATTAGGAACTATTGTTTATGTGTTTCCATTTCACATAGAGCGCGATTGTTTTGGTTCTTCGTTTTGTCGGAGTGGTATGGATGGGATACCCTGTTCATATGGGCTATAGGACCCGCCTTGGCATTACTCATAACGCCATTGATAACTCGATCATTGTGCACATCAAAAATGGTGTCAAGTCATGATTATCTATCGGTGCAGTAATACAAGATGCAACGAACAAGGAGCAGTAAAGCTGAAGCAAATACGAAGGGATCATTTCGAAGGACGAACAGCACGCAAAACAAGCATACATCAAACAAGGTGTATTGGCAAGGACGTTGTAAATATCATTGTGAATCATCATCATCATCATCATGCATACTAATACTTGGGTCATGTGATAGTGGATCAAAGATATCGGTGCGGGAAAGGGTGGATGGTCTGCGTTATCACGGCATTGCTCTTTAGTAATAGGAGCGCTTGCTTATTGGTGATGGTCAGCAAGGTTTGGCCAAAGTTGACGAGCAAGTTATTGCCTGTGGGGATGCCTTTTTAAATACACCTTCAGTGGAATAAAATGTACCCTACTATTACTCTTTAAACCATTTATTCAGTAAAGCTATAGAATATGCCATAAGGTACATTCATATCTCGTGCTCTTGTTGAGGCCCCTTGATCAAAACATAGACTGGATTGCCTGAAAGAGGAATAGACTGATTATGCGTCTCAGTGTCAGCATCAGCATAAAATTTCTTAGCCAACCGCTCCCAGCCAACAATGGCCCTTTTCCCTTTATCACAACAACACTCCTTTCCTATACTTACCCTCTCTCACTTTTACTCCTCATTCGGATTCCTCGTTCGTCATCTGCCAACAGATGGATGCTCAGTCAGCATTCGCCACCTCCATTACGCGTCATTGGTGAAGGCCACTGCTCTTGTTCGCTTGTTCCTTGTTCTGTTTTCAGCTTCTTCTCCTTTTGCACCACACGAAACGACTTGCACTTTTTGTCAATGACGCCTCCACTGCAAAACCATCGCCCGGAATTGCTGTCGTCTTACTTGCACAATGCGTGGTGTCCAGCTTGCTCATTGTGTCTACTGCAAAGGCTCCCAACACGGCCGTAGGATACCAAGACGGCCCATGAACTTGGTTTACATCATAAAGACATGATTACAAGGATTGGTACGTGCAATAGTATGAGGTAAAACAGTGGCAGGGTTCAAACAGGTGGTGTTTGTTTCATGCTGCTCATCAACATCATCATCATCTTCTTCTTCCATAGGTACTTCATCAAGCACTACCTTCACTTGGCGGATTATGGATGTTACAGGAATCAGCACAACAACCAGGATTGGGAGCTGCACGATACCGTTTGCTCCAGCAAATCTTTTTTATTATGATCCCCAATCACAATTTGTCTTGGACCTCTTCGCTTTCATTGTATTCTCTTTGTCACGATGATGTTGGGTGGTGGTACCATGATCTCTCGGTCTTGTATTCCCCAATGCACAAGCCATACACGGATGGTTGGTTATCCTTAGGCTGGTGAAGACTTAGGTTTGGATGGTGGATCTTTGGAAAAGGTTCGTAAAAAAAGGATCGGCTTTCGGTGTCAAATCAATGGAGACTATACATGTTGCATGATGGCAGGATGGATATGGTAAGAGCACACTTTGCGTTGAGATGTACCAGTAGATGTTCGATGTTGTGGTTCAGCTAGGGGTATTAGTGTATTGTAGTCTTTTGGCGATGAAAATAAAAAGGGTCACAATGGTTAAGGATATCAAGGTATAATCGAATGGGTTGAGATGGACATGGCGCACGTATCATTTGCGGCTCGTATGCATTAAGCACTAAAAGCCATCTCTTTTTGGCATCACGTGCCTCTTGTTTGAGAAAACGCAATCATCATCATCAGCATTAATACGCTTGCCGCGATCATATGAATGCTTTTAAATTTGTTCATTATCAAAACAGCAAATGAGGTTACTCTTGAGATTAGTATTATTGTATCCATCATCAAAGAGCCTGAAGCTGGCGAGCTGTGATTATCATATTGACACACTAGCATCCGTGTCATTTAACTGGCCACGAAAAGGAAAGGGAGAAATCATCTTTTTATCGAATCAGTGCATTGAAGAGGAGGAGACTATGTAAAGGTGAACGTCCATAAGAGTATCTATTATCTCTTGACATTGATCGTCATGTCAGGTCTTTTTTCCTTGAGGCGCGTAATGTCTTCAATGTTGGTTACCATGGCAGGATGAATGCTGACCCATTTGAGTTGTGTGAATGTTTCAAGTGCATGCCAAAAGCTGCCACCGTCGTCATTGGTGCGTTCCATGGCAAACGTGCACTGCTTCAAGTTTTTGAGTCGTTTCAAGGCATTGATTGAATGTGTAGGTAGTGCCTCTCGGCACATGATCACAAGGCATGTTAAATTGGGGCATCCGCGTACAAGCTGACCAACAAATCGATCCATTTGATGCGTATTACAATGTAAAGTAATGTTGATCATCAATCGCTCAAGCTGTTTAAGGGGGTAGATAGTGTCCAACACATTGACAATGCTGTCCGAGGTATAGGAATGGAGAATCAGGTGGCGTAGATGATGCGAATGTTGAGAAATGCGATCAAGGTATCCTTTAATAGTTGACGGGTCGACAAGTTCGGGTCCTTCATCCAATCTAAACTCTAGCTTTTTCAAATTGGTTGGTATCGTATCGAGTACTGCGGGGTGGTTGTTGATTGCTTCAGATGTCATTATCAATTCCTCGAGTAACGGTGCGTTGCGTGGTATCCACCATCCGGATTTATTGAGCGTAAGTTTCTTGAGCCGTGGGTACTGAATGTCGTAAATATCCCTGTTATTGCTCTCATCATCCATATCCCATACAATCTTCTCAAGGATCTTCCGATGCTGTTTCAATACAGAGCCGATATCCACAAAGGTATCATCAGAGTCGACATCCACAGAAGTATCATCATTCGGCGGTACAAAGCTCTCGACTGTAATACTTGTAATCCCAATTGTTTCATTGAGGGGCCCAAAATTCGAGAAGATGATATCAAGGCTCTTATCGGATAGATTAATGAGCAGGCTGTTCATGGATGGAAGGTAATCGGATATAATAAATACAGCTTGTATATCAGAGCATGGATGAAGTCCAAGGTGATTGAGTGATGGGAAACGCCTGCAAATCCCTATGGTCTGATCGCATGTAATAGGCTCTTGTGCTCTGCAAATGTCCAGCCATTTTAAATTGGGCCATGTCGTCATGGGGAGAGAGCTGAGATCGGCAACGCGTGATTGAGGGAGAGTGAGTGACACTAGGTTGGGAAAGGTCGACATTATCTTGGCTATGGGTAACATGAGCCCGATACCCAGTTCGATACTCAAATGCATCAAAGTCTTGCTAATTGATTCCAACGACGATACAAAATGATCACTGTGATCATTCTCGTACTCTAAATGAGCTATGGTAAATGAACAAATATCAAGAAATGCATACACAACTTACGATAAATGGTTAATGCCTGTAGCGAGCAAAAGTCGTTATCGCTCAGTAAATCACCTAGCCATGTGCCGTGGCCGTATCGATTTATGGTCAATTTCTTCGTATGTTGAGCAAACTGAATGACTTGAGATAGAGTGTCCTCATCGTAGCCTCGATGATGCCCAACAGAAAAGCTTAACCCATCGAAGCATTGAACAATACGATCTCGCCATACATTGGATACATGCAAATAGAGGCATGGTATATCCGATTGCAAAGGAAAACGATCCATAAACATAGGAATCAGCGTTGTAGTTACAATGTCGAGAGGCAGTTGGCTAATAAAGTCGATGTGTGTGTTTTGACGTTGCTCAGCATCCATTTTGGCTCGTTGCAGTGTATCATAATGCGTATCCATGGCATCCACCGTACTCAGGCCCTTGTCGCAGATATCGATTACTTGAAGCTGTTGTCCTTGTTCACTGTAAATGTCGGCTTCCCGCAGATATCCAAGTGCTGAAGAAGGCGATAGCTGTTGCATAACTCGGGCATCGTGAAGAGCCAATTCAAAGTTGGCGCACTTTGTCAACCCAATGGCGCGTAGATTCAAAGCTGACAGGATCGATTGAATAGATTGATGGAGTTGTATTGTTGAATCGTGAACAAGCTGTGCATATTTTTCAGAAGAGGCTTTGAGAGTGGGCTGTTTGCATAAAGCGTTCCAAATCGAGTCGTCCATTGTTGGTTGGCTGGGAAACAAGAAGGCTGTGTGCCACCATCCAAACACAAATCTCTTTTGCCCTCCTTTTTACACTTTACCACTCTCAGACTTATACTTTTCACTCTCCTTGTCGACATTCTTCCTTCGTCTTTTGCCATCAGATTAGTTGACAACCAGCATGCCGCTGTTGGTTACGCCCGTCATCTCTACGACAACTGCTCTTGGTTGTACCTGCTTCAGCTGCTTCTATTTCACAAACTACTACTTGTACGCTTGGCAATGGTACCTCCTCCACTGAAAGGCCTTCGTCAACAATGGCGATCGTCTTACATGCTCATTGTGTCTAGTTCAAAGGCAACCAACACGGCTATAGGGTACAAGCCTGCTACCAACGAACCAAGGCGTATCGCAAACTTGCCTAGATACCACAAAGACACAGCTACAAGGATTGGTACGTGCAATGGTATGGGAGATGGCTTTCACAGGGTTCAAATAGGTGCTATTTGTGTCATGCTGCTCACCATCATCATCATCACCTTTGACAGGTACTTCACCAAGCACTACCTCCACTTGGTGTATGATGGATGATTCAGGAATCAGGTCAATGACCAGGATTATGAGCTGCATGATACCTTTTGCTCCAGCAAGTCTCTTTCATGATCCCCAATCTCAATTTTTCTTTGGCCTCTTGGCTTCCACGATGATGTTGGGTGGTGGTGCGCCATTGTCTACCCATGATGCTCTCTTGGCTGTGCACTCCAATGCTCAAGCAATACACGGATGAGTGTTATCCTTAGGCTGAAGAAATAGGTTTGTATGATGGATCTTTGGAAAAGGTTGGTAAAAGAGGATCGGCTTTCGGTGTCAAATCAATGGAGACTATGCGCGTTGCATGATGGCAGGATGGGTATGGTAAGAGCACACTTTGCGTTGGATGTACCGGTAGGTGTTGGAAGTTGTGGTTCAGCTAGAGGTATTAGTGTAGCTAGTCTTTTGGTGATGAAAATAAAAAAAGGGTCACAATGATTTAAGGATATCAAAGTCAATCAAACGGGGTTGAGATGGCCATGGTGGGCGTATCATTGGTCAGCTCGTATACATCAAGCACTGAAAGCCACCACTTCTTAGCACCACGTGCGTCTTGTTTGAGGAAACACAGTCGTCCTCATCAGCATTGATAAGCTTGCTACAAGCTTATGAATGCTTTTGAATTTGTACATTTCAAAAGCAGCAGACGCGGTTACTCTTGAGATTGCTATTATTGTTGTTGATTATCGAATTGGCATACTAGCATCCATGTCATTCAACAACTTGTGAAAAACGGAAGGAAGAAGACTTTTTTATTACATTAATGCATCACAGATGACAATCGTTAATGGGGAAGGTGCATGGGATATGTACATGAAAAGGATCGTTCAGAAGAGTGTGTAATCTCTCTTGACAATGATCGTCATGTCAGGTCTTTTTTCCTTGAGACGCCTTATGTCTTCAATGTTGGTTGCAATGGCAGGGTGAATACGGATCCACTTGAGCTGTGTAAACATTTCAAGTGCGTGCCAAAAGCTTCCATGGTCGTCATCGATGCGTTTGATTGAAAATATGCACTCCTTCAAATTTTCAAGTCGCTTCAAAGCGTTGATCGAATGCATGGATAGTCCCTCTCGGCATATGATCTCAAGGCATGATAAATTGGGGCATCCTCTTGTGAGCCGTTCAACAAATCGATCCATTTGATGCGAATCACAACGTCTAGTAACCCTGATCATCAATCGCTGAAGCTGGTTAAGAGGGTGGATAGCATCAACCACATTGATAATGTTGTTCATGGTATAGGAATGGAGAATGACTTCGTGTAGAGGATGCGAATGTTGAGCAATGCGATCAAGGTATCCTTTGATTGTTGACGTGTCGGCAAGTTCGGGTCCTTCATCCAGTCTAAACTCCAGCTTTTTCAATGTGGGTGGTACCATATCGAGTACTGCAGGATAGGCGTTGATTGCTTCAGATGTCATTATCAATTCCTCGAGTAACGGTGCGTTGCGTGGTATCCACCATCCGGATTTATTGAGAGTAAGTTTCTTTAGCTGCGAGTACTGAATGTGGTAAAAATCCCTGTTGTCACTCTCATCATCATTATCCATGTCCCATTCAATCTCCACAAGGGTCTTCTGATGGTGTTTTAATACGCAGCCGATATCCACAAAAACATCGTTCGACGGTAAAATGCCCTCAATTGCAATATGTGTAACCCCAAGCAAGTCACTGACAGAACCTTGATCCGTGTACATGATGTCAATGTCTGTATCCAATGTATTGATACCCAGGCTGTTAATCGATGGAAGGTAATCGGAAACAATGAATGCTGATTGCATGTCGGAGCATGGATGAAGTCCAAGGTGGTTGAGTGATGGGAAACGTTGCCAAATTCCAATAATCTGGTCGCATGTAATAGGCTCTTGTGCTCTGTGAATGGATAAGCTCTTCAAATTAGGCCATGTTGACATTGGGAGAGAGCTGATATCGGCAACACGTGATTGAGGAAGATCGAGCGAAACCAAGTTGGGGCAAGTCAACACTATCTGGTCAATGGAAAACATGCGTCTGCTTCCCATTTCGATACTCAAATGCGTCAGGGTCTTGCTAATGGATTTCAGCGACGATACAAAGTGGTCAACATGGTCATTCATGTACTCTACATCAACAAAGGTAAGTAAACGGATGTTAAGAAAAGGATACACAACTCACGTTCAATGAATAATTGCCGTAGCGAACAAAAGTCATGATCTCGCAGTAAGTCATCTAGCCATGTTCCATGGTGGTATCGATTGATGTACAATGTCTTGGTATGTTGAGCAAACTGAACGACTTGAGATAGAGCGTCCTCATCGTAGCCTCGATGATCCCCAGCAGAAAAGCGTAATCCATCAAAGCATTGGGTGATACGATCTCGCCATAGATTGGACACATACAAATAGGAGCATGGTGTATCCGATCGCAAAGGAAAATGATCCATAAACATGGGAACGAGTGTCGTGATTACAATGTCGACAGGGAGTTGGCTGATAAAGTCGATGCGTGTGTTTTGGCGTTCCTCAGCATCCATTTTGGCTCGTTGCAATGCATCATAGTGCGTATCCATGGCATCCACCCTACTTAGCCCCTTCCTGCACACATCGATTACTTGAAGCTGTTGTCCTTGTTCACTATAAATGTCGGCTTCCCGTATGTATCCAAGTGCTGAAGAAGGTGATAGTTGTTGCATAGCTCTGGCATCGTGAAGAGCAGATTCAAAGTTGGCGCACTTTGTCAATCCAGTAGCTCGCTGATCCAAAGCTGACAAGATCGATTGAACACCTTGATGGAGTTGTGTCGTTGAATCGTGAACAAGCTGTGCATATTTTTCAGAAGAGGTTTTGAGGGTGGGCTGTTTGCATAAATCGTTCCAAATTGAGTCTGCCATGGTTGGTTGGCTGAGAAACAAGGTCGTCGTCAATGCCACGATCGGCTTAAATCTCTTTTGCCACTCTTGCGCACACACCACGCCCTCCTTTTTGTACGTTACCACTCACAGACTTCACTTCCACTCTCCTTGTTGACATTCTTCCTTTTCGTCTTTTGCCATCAGATTGGTGGACAACCAGCATTCAGCTCTTGGTTACGCTCGTCATCTCTACGACAACTGCTCTTGGTTGTACCTGCTTCAGCTGCTGCTTTTACACAGACTACTTGTACGGTTGGCAATGACACCTCCTCCACTGATAGGCCTTCGTCAACAATGGCGGTCGTCTCACTTGCTCATTGTGTCCAGTTCAAAGGCACCCAACAGGGCTATAGGATACAAGCCTGCTACCAACGAACCAAGGCGTATAGCGAACTTGCCTAGATACCACAAAGACACAGCTACAGGGATTGGTACGTGCAATGGTATGGGAGATGGCTTTGGCAGGGTTCAAATAGGTGCTATTTGTGTCATGCTGCTCGCCATCATCATTATCCACAGGTACTTGAACAAGCACTACCTTCACTTGGCGTATGATGGATGATTCAGGAATCTGATCGACAAGGAGGGTTGTGAGCTGCACGATACCTTTTACTCCAGCAAGTCCAATGTGATCCAGCCTCAAGTTGTTTCAGCTCATGGGTGTATTCCCTTTTATGACGTTGCTGGATGATGCTCTCTCGGTCATGTACCTTCAATGCTCAAGCGATACACGGATGATTGGTATCCTTAGGCTGATGATGGCGTAGATTTGGATGGTGGATCTTTGAAAAAGGTTGGTAAAAGAGGGCCAGCTTTGGGTGTCAAATCAATGGAGACTATACACCTTGCATGATGGCAGGATGAATATGGTAAGGGCACACTTTGCGTTGAGATGTATATATCAGTAGACGTTGGAAGTTGTGGATCAGGTAGGTGTATTAGTGTATTGTAGTCTTTTGGTGGTGAAAATAAATAAAGGTCACTATGATTTGAGGATATCAAAGTCAATCGAACGGGATTGAAATGGGCATGGTGCAGGTATCATTTTCCAGCTCGTATACTGTACATTAAGCAGTAAAAGCTATCACTTCTTGGCATCACGTGCCTCTTCTTTGAGAAAACATCAGCAGCATCAGCATTGACAAGCCTGCTATCATCAGACAATGCTTTTAAATTGTTCTTTACAAAAACAGCGGACGAGATTACTCTTGAGATCATTCAATGCTTATGAAAAAGGGAAGCGAGAAGACATCTCTTTATTACATGGATGCATAACAAATGAGATTCAATCATGAGGAAGGTATCTGAAAAGTGGGAATACAATGCAACATACAATGTTCAGAAGCACCTGAATGTTTTGTCAAGAAAGGTCGTCATGTCAGGTCTTTTTTCTTTGAGACGCCTAATACCGGCAAGATTGGATGGGATTGCGGGGTAAATACGAATCCATTTGAGCTGTGTAAACGTTTCAAGTGCTTCCCAAATGCCATCGCCATGGGTGCCATCGATTGAAAATGAGCACTGCTTTAAATTCTCAAGTTGTTTCAAAGCATTGATTGAATGGGTGGATAGTCCATCTTTGCAATTGATCTCAAGGCAGGTTAAATTGGGGCATCCTCTTCCAAGCCGTTCCACAAATCGATTCATTTGACTCGAATCACAAGGTGCACCCACTCTGATCATCAATCGCCGAAGCTGGTCAAGACAGCAGATGACATCAGCCATTTTGACAATGTTGTCCATGGTATAGGAATTCACAATGAGTTCTTGTAAATGTGTATAGCGAGCAACGCGATGGAGGTATCGTTTGAGAGTTGGCGTGTCGACATCGTCGGCTCCCACGTCCAGTCTAAACTCTAGTTTTTTCAAATTGGGTGGTATCATATGGAGTACAGCAGGATGACGGCTGATTGCGTCCCACGTCATTGTCAATTCCTCGAGTAAGAGTGCGTTGCGTGGTATCCACCATCCAGATCTCTCGAGCATAAGCTTCTTTAGGCGTGGGTATTGAATGTCATCAACATCCCCGTTGTCGCTCTCATGACTCATGTACCATTCAAGGTCCTCAAGTGTCTTCCGATGCTGCTTTAATATCGGGACGATCTCCACAAAAGTATCATTTGTAAAGCTCTGAATTGAAATATTCGTAATCCCAGGTGTGTCACTTGGGGGTGCTTGATCGGAAAAAATGATACCAGTGCCCATATCAGATAGATGAATCTCCAGGTCGTTGATGGATGGAAGGTAATCGGAAACAATGAGTGCTGATTGCATATCGGAGCATGGTTGAAGTTGAAGGTCATTGAGTGATGGGAAACGTCTCCAAATTCCTATGACCTGGTCGCATGTAATAGGCTCTTGTGCTCTGTGAATGGATAACCTCTTCAAATTAGGCCATGTCGTCATAGGAAGAGAGCTGAGATCGGCAACACGTGATTGAGGAAGATTGAGGGACACCAAGTTGGGGCAAGTCAACACTATCTTGGCTATGGATAACCGGAGTCCGCTTCCCATTTCGATGCTTAAATGCGCCAAGGTCTCGCTAATTGATTTCAGCGCCCATACAAAGTGGGAAACGTGATCACTCATGTACTCTACATCAACAAAGGTAAGCGAACGGATGTTAAGACAAGGATACACAACTTACGTTCAATGAATAATTGTCGTAGCGAGCAAAAGTCATGATATCGCAGTAAATCATCTAGCCATGTTGCATGGTGGTGTCGATTGATGTACAATGCTTTGGTATGTTGAGCAAATTGAATGACTTGTAATAGAGCGTCCTCATCGTGGTTTCCATCAGATCCAACAGAAAAGCGTAATCCATCGAAGCATTGAATAATACGATCTCGCCATACATTGGACACATGCAAATAAGGATTGGGGTTGTTTGAACTGATAGCTGAATCATCCATCAACATGGGAATGAGCTTCGTAACCACAATGTCGACAGGCAATTGGCTCACAAAGTCGATACGCGTGTTTTGGCGTTCCTCAGCATCCATTTTGGCCCGTTTCAAATCATCATAATGCTCATCCATGGTGTCAGCCATTCTCAGGCCCTTGCTGCATACATCAATGACTCGAATTTGTTGCCCTTGTTCACTGTAAATGTCGGCTTCACGTAGATAACCAAGTGCTGAAGAAGGCGACAGGTATTGCATAACTTTGGCATCACAAAGAGCTGATTCAAAGTTGGCGCTCTTTGACAACCCAATGGCGCGTCGATTCAAAGCTGACAAGATGGGTCCAAGGGATTGATGGAGTTGTACTGTTGATTCCTGTACAGGTTTTGCGTATTTTTCAGAAAAGACTTTGGGAGTGGGCTGTATGCATAAATCCTTCCAAATCGAATCTGCCATTGCTGGTTGGCTGGGAAACAAGACCATGGTCAATGGCAGGATCACGCCGCCCCAAGCTTAAATCTCTTTTGCCAGTGTTGCACACACACACACACACCGCACCCCTTTTCTTACTTTATCACCTACGCACTTTTACTTTTACTCTCCTTGTCTGCAATCTTCCTTCGTCTTTTGCCATCATGTTGGTTGCCAACCTAGCATGCGTCTCTTGGTTACGATTGTCATTACCACAACTCGTCTGATTCGCTTTTTTCTTGTACCTGTTTCAGCTGCTCCTTGTGGACAAAACTACTACTTGCACACTTGGCAATGCCGCCTTCACTGAAAACCGTTCGTCGACAACTGCCGCCGTCTCACGTTCTCACTATCTTGTCATACAACTTGCTCATCGCGTCTAGTGGAAAAGCACTCAACAAGGCCATAGGATCTATACCTGCTACCAAGAAACCAAGGCGTCTCGCAAACTTGCCTAGGATCATGCTGGTATGATTACAGTTATTGGGTACGTGGAATATTATGGGAGCCAACGTTGTGAGTATCCAAAGGGGGGCTTTTCTATCAAGGTGCTCATCTTCACCATCATCAACAGGCACCACCTTGTATGCTCTTGCTCTTGGTTAATTATGGAGGCTTCAGCAACCAGAAGATTGCGAACTGAACTGCACTTTTTCTTCTCCAAGCCTTTTATCATGATCCAGCTTCAACTTGTTTTCATCTCTTGGCTTCTATTGTATGTTGTCATGTACTGTGGATGATCCCATTGCATATCGGTGATACTCTCGATCATCTACAATCCCGGCAGTCAAGTAATACATGGAGGATGTCGATGTCTTTAGGCTGATAAGGTAGGTAGGTTTATGTGATGGATCTTTTGGATATGCTTGTTGAAGTGGATCGGATTTGGCGTCAATTCATTGGGGAGCTCTATATGTGTTGGATGAAGGTACAATGGATATGGTATGGTAAGTGCTGGTGGGGTTGGGATGTGCGTGTACATAGATGTTGGGGGTTACGTATCATTTAGCTCGCTGTGTCAGTGTAAACTTTCGTTGATGAAGAATAAAATGGACAGCATGCTTCAAACGTTCAAAGATGATGGGGTCAGTCGTAATGGTTTGTGCATGTGCAATTTGTCAGCTTCTTTTACGATGTAAATATCATCTTTACCTAGCACCACCTTTGTATTGTTTGCTCCTCGTGGCTACCATTAATAAGGTTGTCCTATCATATCAATGGTTTTAAACTCGTTGGTTACAGAACCATCTGATGAGTTTGCTCTTGAGATTAGTATGATTGAAAAAACGGTTATGGATATGGAAAGGGAGAAGCAAGTCAAGTTTTTATTATATTGTTGCATAAGGAATGGCTTTCAATCATGGGGAAGGTATTTGGAAGATGGGAATACAATGCAGCAAAGAACTTTCAGAAGCGTGTGAATGTTTGATCAAGGAAGATCGTCATGTCAGGTCTTTTTTCCTTGAGACGCCTAATGCCAGCAATGTTTTTTGGAACCGCTGGGTAAATACGGATCGATTTGAGCTGTGTAAACGTTTCAAGTGCTTGCCAAATGCCATCGCCATTGGCTTGATTGATTGCGAATGAGCACTGCTTCAAATTTGCAAGTTGTTTCAAGGCATTGATTGAATGGGTGGATACTCCATACATGGAATTGATCTCAAGGCAAGTCAAATTGAGACATCCTCTTGCAAGCTGGTCAACAAATCTTTCCTTTTGAGACGAATCGGTGTATATAGTAATGTGGATCATCAATCGCTGAAGCTGGTTAAGAGGGTGGATAGCATCAACCATATTGACAATGTTGTCCATCGTGTGGGACCTTATAACAAGCTCGTGTAGATGCGAATGTTGAGAAAAGCGGAGGAGATATCGTTTGACAGCTGACACGGTGACAGTATTGAGTCCTAGTTTAAGGTCCAAAACTAGCTTTTTCAAATTGGGTGATATCGTATCGAGTACTGCAGGGTGGTTGTTGATTGTTTGCGATGTCATTGTCAATTCCTCTAGTAAGGGTGCGTTGCGTGGTATCCACCATCCCGATTTATTGAGCGTAAGTTTCTTGAGGCATGGGTACTGAATGTCGTACATCTCCCTGTAGTTGCTCTCATCATCCATATCCCATTGAAAGTCCTCAAGCGTCTCCCGATGCTGCTTTAGTACAGAGCCGACATCCACAAAGGTATCATCATTCGATAGTATAAGGCTCTCAATTGCAATCTTTGTAATCCCAGGCTTTTCACTAGGGGATCCGTGATCGGAGAACGTGATACAAGTGCCCGTATCAGATAGATGAATCTCCAGGTCGCTGATGGATGGAAGGTAATTGGAAACAATGAGTGCTGATTGCATATCGGAGCATGGTTGAAGTTCAAGGTGACTGAGTGATGGGAAACGATGCCAAATCCCTATGATCTGGTCGCATGTAACAGGCTCTAGTGCTCTGTGAATGGATAACCTCTTCAAATTGGGCCATGTCGTCATAGGAAGAGAGCTGAGATCGGCAACACGTGATTGAGGAAGATTGAGGGACACCAAGTTGGGGCAAGTCAACACTATCTTGGCTATGGGTAGCATGCGGGTGATTTCTATTTCGATGTCCAAATGGGTCAATGTACTGCTGATTGCTTGCAGCGATGAGACAAAGTGGTCAACGCGATCATTCATGTATTCTAGATACGCTATGGTAAGTAAACAGGTATATTAAAAATGCATGCTTATACAACTTACGTCCCATGGATAATCGCCGTAACGAGCAAAAGTCATTGTCACGCAGTAGATCACCTAGCCATGTTCTTTCTTGATCATATTGATGTATGATGAATGTCTTGGTATGTGGAGCAAACCGAATGACTTGTGACAAAAAGTTCTCATCGTAATCTTCATGATATCCAACCATAAAACGTAATCCGTCAAAGCATTGAATAACACGATCTCGCCATAGATTGGACACATACAAGTAGGGGCACTGTACATCCGATTGCAAAGGAAAACGATCCATAAACATAGGAATCAGCGTTGTAGTAACAATGTCGAGAGGCAGTTGGCTGATAAAGTCGATGCGTGTGTTTTGGCGTTGCTCAGCATCCGCTTTGGCTCGTTGCAGTGTATCATAGCACGTATCCATGGCATCCACCCTACTCAACCCTTTGCTGCAAATATCAATGACTCGAAGTTGTTGCCCTTGTTCACTGTAAATGTCGGCTTCCCGTAGGTACCCAAGAGCTGAAGAAGGTGAAAGCTGTTGCATGAGCTTGGCATCGTGAAGCGCAGCATCAAAGTTGGCGCACTTTGTCAACCCAATGGCGCGTCCATCTAAGGCTAATAGGACCGGTTCAAGAGATTGGTGCAGTTGAGTGGTTGAATCGTGGACAAGCTTTGCATACTTTTCAGAGGAAGCTGTAAGCTTAGGTTGGTTGCATGAATCCTTCCAAATAGAGCGTGTCATTTTAGGCTGGCTGATGAAACAAGATCGTAGCCAATGCCCCCTCCCGCCCCCCGAAGCATAAAAATCTAGCGCCCAGTCAACAGCAACTGTTGTCTCTCTTTCTCTCAGACTTTCACTTTTCGCTCTCCTTGTCGACAATCTCCTTTCGTCTTTTGCCTTCAGATTGATCCGCCACCCGCATTCGTCTCTTGGTTACGCGTCATCTCTATGGCAACTGCTCTTGGTTGCTTTTTTTTTGTTGTACCTGTTTCAGCTGCTGCTTTTACACAAAACTACTACTTGTACGCTTGGCAATGACACCCACCCCCTCCCCCAACTTCGCATACAAATGCCGTCGTCTCACATTCTCACTATCTTGACGTTCAGCTTGCTCGTCGTGTCTACTGGAAAGGCACCCAACAAGGCCATAGGATCTACACCTGCTACCAAGAAACCACGCTAGATTCACGTTGGCATGATCACAGTTATTGGTATACGTGGAATATTATGGGAGTCAACGTTGTCAATATTCAAAGGGGAGGGGGCTTTTTCTTTCAAGGTGCTCATATTATTCATCATCAGCAGATACTTGTGTAGGCTCTTGCACTTGGTTAGTTATGGAGGCTTCAGCAACCAGAGGATTGCGAGCTGCACGACATACGCGATATTACTTGCACCTTTGACAATGTCACTTCCACCGAAAAACGTTCGTCGACAATTGCCCTCGTCTCACTTGCTCAATAGCTTGGCATTTGGCTTGCTCATCATGTCTACTGCAAAGGCAAATACCACGGCCATGGGATATAAACCTGCTACCAACAAAAGAAGAGGCCTCACAAACTTGTCTAGATTCGTGTTGGTATGGTTACGAGGATTGGTACGTGCAATACAATTGTGAGATAGCATTGGCAGGGTTCAAAGAGGTGCTATGCTGCTGCTTACCACCATCATCTTCTTCTGCAGGTACTTGTCGATACATCACCTTCACGTACGCTCTTGCGCTTGGCTCATGATGGGTGTTTGAGCAATCCAATAAACAACAAGGTGCAAGCTTCGCGACACTTCATGCTTCTGCAAGCCTTTTATCATGGTCCAGTTTCCATCTTGGCTTCTATTGTATCTTGTGCACTCTATTGTTGGATGATGCCATTCCATACCGGTGATACTCTCGATCGTGTACAATCCCGGAAGTCAAGTGAGAGATGGATAGGACCGATGTCTTTTGGGCTGATAAGGTAGGTAGGTCTAGATAATGGATCTTTTGGATATGCTTGTTGAAGAGGATCGCATTTGTCGTCAATTCAGTGGAGATCTACATATACACGTTGGATGAAGGTACAATGGATATGGTAAGTGCTCTTCGGGTTGAAATGTACCGTTACATAGATGTGGGGGTGGTTACATATGGTTTAGCTAGCTGTATTAGTGTAAACGTTTGATGCTGAAAATAAAAAATGGGCAGCATGCTTTAAAGCTGATGGAGTCAATCGTGATGGTTCGTGCACGTATAATTTGTCAGCTTCTTTCATGATGTCGCCTCTCTTCCTTACACATTGATAAGCTTGACACTATCATATCAATGGCTTTAAAGTCGTTGGTTACATGGTATTAGTATGATTGATGTTGATTACCGAAGAAATTGAAGCTGTTTAGGTGGCGGTGTTTATCAGAGTGCCATGCTACCATCCGTGCGTGTTGCACAAATGATTATGGATATGGAAAGGGAGACGCAAGTCAAATTTTTATTACATTGTTGCATAAGAAATGATAATCAATCATGGGAAAGGTACTTGGTAGATGGGTATACAATGTAACAAAGAATATTCAGAAGGGCGTGAATACATGGTCGAGAAAAGTGGTCATGTCAGGTCGTTTTTCCTTGAGATGCCTAATGCCAGCAAGGTTGGATGGGATTACAGGGTAGATACGGATCCCTTGGAGCTGTGTAAACGTTTCAAGTGCTTGCCAAATGCCATCTTCATTGCTGCGATCGATTGAGAATGAGCACTTTTTCAAATTTCCAAGTTGTTTCAAAGCATTGATTGATGGGGTGGATACTCCATTTTTGCAATTGATCTCAAGGCAGGTTAAATTGGGACATCCTCTTGCAAGTTGGTCAATAACTAATTCCTTTGGATACGAATCCGACGGTTTGATAATGTGGATCGCCAATCGCTGAAGCTGATTAAGGCGGTAGGTACCATCCATCATATTGCTAATGCTTTCCACGATGCGGGACCTTATAATAAGCTCGTGAAGATGGGAATGCTGAGCAAAGCCAAGGAGATATCGTTTGGTGGCTGACACAATGACAGCATTGCGTCCTTTTTTAAGATCCAAAACTAGCTTTTTCAAATTGGGTGGTATCGTGTTGAGCACAGCAGGATGGTCGTTGATTACTTGCCATGTCATTGTCAATTCCTCGAGTAATGGTGCGTTGGGCGGTATCCACCATCCAGAATTATAGAGAGTAAGCTTCTTTAGGCGTGGGTATTGAATGTCGTAAATATCGCTGTTGTCTCTCGTATCACCCACATCCCATTCAAAGTCCTCAAGTGTCATCCGATGCTGCTTTAATAATAAGCCGATATCCACAAAAGTATCAACATTCAACCGTCCAACGCTTTCCATTGAAATCTTTGTAATACTAGGCGTCTCACAGGGTGGCCCGTGATTCATGAACACGATATGAGTGCCCGCATTAGTTGGAGAAATCTCCAGGCTGTTGATGGATGGAAGGTAATCGGAAACAATGAGTGCTGATTGTATATCGGAGCATGGATTAAGTCCAAGGTGATTGAGTGATGGAAAACGTCTCCAAATCCCTATGGCTTGCTCGCATGTAATAGGCTCTTGTGCTCCGTCAATAGTCAGCTTCTTCAAATTGGCCCATGTCGTCAAGGGAAGAGAGCTGAGATCAGCAACATGAGGCCGAGAAAGTTCCAGGGACACGAGGTGAGGGCAAGTCAACAGTATCGTGGCTATGGGTGGTGACAAGTGGCTGCTTCCCGATATCATACTCAAATGCGTCAAAGTCTTGCTAATCGATTCCAACGATGTTACAAAGCGGCCAATATGATCATTCATGCAATCTAAATGAGCGAAGGTAAGTAAAATAATGTTGAGAAAAGGATACACAACTTACGTTCAATGGATAACCGCCCTAACGAGCAAAAGTCATTGTCACGCAGCAAATCACCTAGCCATGTTCCATGGCCATGCAGCGTTATGGACAATGTCTTGGTATGCTGAGCAAACTGAATGACTTGTGACAGAGTATCTGCATCGTAATCATGATCATATCCAACCATAAAACGTAGGCCATCGAAGCATTGAATAACGCGATCTCGCCATACATTGGATACATGCAAATAGGAGCATGGTATATCCGATCGCAGAGGAAAACGATCCATAAACATAGGAATGAGCGTTGTGATAACAATGTCGTTTGGTAGTTGGCTGATAAAGTCGATCCGTTTACTTTGGTGTTGCTCAGCATCCATTTTGGCTTGTTTCAATTCATCATAATGCTCATCCATGGTGTCGGCCATACTCAGGCCCTTGTTGCAGATATCGATCACTTGACGTTGTTTCCCCTGTTCACTGTAAATATCTGCTTCGCGTATATATCCAAGTGCTGAAGAAGGCGACAGCTGTTGCATCAGCTTGGCATCGCGAAGCGCAGCATCAAAGTTGGCACACTTTGTCAACCCAATGCCGCGTCGATCTAAGGCTGATAGGACCGGTCCAAGAGATTGGTGCAGTTGAGTGGTTGAATCGTGGACAAGCTTTGCATACTTTTCAGAGGAAGCTGTAAGGGTGGGTTGGTTGTATGAATCCTCCCAATCTGCCATTGTTGGTTGGCTAGGAAACAAGACCGCAATCAATGCCAGCTACCCCACATGCATAAATCCTGGCGCCCAGTCAACACCAAGTGTACCATTACTCCTTTCTTTTACTTTGTCACTTTCTCAGACTTTTACTTTTCGCTCTCCTTGTCGACAATCTTCTTTCGTCTTTTGCCTCAGATTGGTTGGCAACCCAGCATTCGTCTCTTGGTCACGCTCCATCTCCATGACAACTGCTCTTGGTTGCTTTTTCAGCTTTTGCACAAGACTACTACTTGTACGCTTGGCAATGACACCCACCCCTTTCCCCAACTTCGCATACAATTGCCGTCGTCTCACTTTCTTACTATCTTGGCGTTCAGCTTGCTCATCGTGTCTACTGCAAAAGCACTCAACACGGCCATAGGATCTGTACCTGCTACCAACAAACCAAGGCGTCTCACAAACTTGCTTAGATTCACGTTGACATGGTCACAGTTATTGGTACGTGGACTATTATGGGAGGGAACGCTGTCAGCATTGGAAAGGGGGGGGAGCTTTTTCTTTCAGGGTGCTCATCTTCATCGTCATCAACAGGCACGTCTTGTCGAAGCATCATCTCCACGTACGCTCTTGTGCTTGGCTGATGATGGGTGTTTGAGCAATCCAATAACAAACAAGGAGCGAGCTGCACGACACTTTTGCTTGAGGAAGACTTTTATCATGATCCAGTTTCCCTTTTGGCCTCTATTGTATCTTGTCACGCTATGATGTCATTGCGTATTGGCGATACTCGGGATCGTGTACAATCCGGGCAGTCAGGTAAGAGATGGATTGGACCTATGTCTTTTGGACTGATAAGGTAGGTAGGTATAAATGATGGATCTTTGGATATGCTTGTGAAAAAGGATCCGATTTGGTGTCAATTCATTGGAGACCTATATACGGACGTTGGATGAAGGCACAATGGATATGGTGAGTGCTCTTGTAAATGAGGTATACCGGTACATAGATGTTGGGGGGGCTACATATGGTTAGCTAGCTGTATTAGTGTAAACTACCTGTGGTGATGAAAAATAAAATGCCCAGCATTCCTTATAAATAATGGAGTCAATTGTGATGGTTTGTGCATGCATAATTTGTCATCTTTCATGATGTAAATATCAAGTCGCGATCACTATCTCTATCTAGCACCACGTTCGTATTGTTTATCCTCGTGGTTAGCATTAGTAAGGTTGGTGTCATTATATCAATGGCTTTAAGTTTATTGGTTACTAAAACAGCCTTGGTATCAGTAGGATTGATGTTGACTATAGAAGAAATTGAAGCTGTTTACCATCCGTACGCGTCGTATAAATTCTTATGGATATGGGAAGGGAGAAGCAAGTCAAGTTTTTATTACATTGTTGCATTCAATCATGGGGAAGGTATTTGGGGATGGGAATACAATGCAACATGGAATATTCAGAAGCGTGTGAATGTTTGGTCGAGAAAGATCGTCATGTCAGGTCTTTTTTCCTTGAGACTCCTAATGCTGGCAAGGTTGGATGGGATCACAGGGTAAATACGAATACATTGGAGCTGTGTAAACGTTTCAAGTGCTTGCCAAATGCCATCTTCATTGCTGCGATCGATTGAGAATGAGCACTTTTTCAAATTTCCAAGTTGTTGCAAAGCATTGATTGAATGTGTGGATAATCCATACTCGCCATTGATCTCAAAGCAGGTTAAATTGGGACATCCTCTTACAAGCTGGTCAATAACTCTTTCCCTTCGATTCGAATCAGACCGTCTAGTAACGTGGATTGCCAATCGCTGAAGCTGGTTAAGGCAGTAAGTAGCATCCACCATATTGCCAATGTCTTCCATGGTGTGGGTCCTGATAATAAGCTCTTGAAGATGGGAATGCTGATTAAATCGAAGGAGATATCGTTTGATGGCTTGCACATTGACAGCATTGGATCCTTTTTTAAGATCCAAAACCAGCCTTTTCAACTTGGGTGGTATCGTGTCGAGTGCTGAAGGCTGCTGGCTGGTTGTTTGCGATGACAATATCAGCTCTTCTAGTAACGGTGCGTTGCGTGGTATCCACCATCCGGATTTGTCGAGAATGAGTTTCTTGAGGCGTGGGTAGTGAAGGTCGTAAATGTCCCTGTTGTCCCTCTTAACATTCATATTCCATTTAAAGTCCTCAAGAGTCTCCCGATGTTGCTTTAATACTGAGCCGATTTCCACAATGGCACCATCATTCGAACGTACAAAGCCGTCAATTGCAATCTTTGTAATCCTAGGCGTCTGACTTGGGGTCCCGTGATTCATGAAGGTAATGACAGTGCCCATATTAGATAGATGAATCTTCAGGTCGTTGGTGGATGGAAGGTAATCGGAAACAACGAGTGCTGATTGCATATCGGAGCATGGATGAAGTCCAAGGTGATTGAGTGATGGAAAACGTCTCCAAATCCCTATGGTTTGCTCGCATGTAATAGGCTCTTTTGCTCCGTAAATAGTCAGCTTCTTCAAATCGGGCCATGTCGTCATGGGAAGAGAGCTGAGATCGGCAACAACAGGTCGAGAAAGTTCCAGGGACACGAGGTGAGGGCAAGTCAACAGTATCGTCGCCATGGGTAGTGACAAGTGGCTGCTTGGCGATTTGATACCCAAATGCGTCAAAGTCTTGCTAATTGATTTCAGCGACGATACAAAGTTGTCAACGTGATCATTCAAGCACTCTAAATGAACGAAGATAAGTAAATGAGAATATCAAGAAATGCATGCATACTACTTACGTCCAATGGATAAACTCCACAACGAGCAAAAGTCATTGTTACGCAGTAAATCGCCTAGCCATGTGCCACGGCCATGTAGCGATATGTACAATGTCTTGGTATGCTGAGCAAACTGAATGACTTGTGACAGAGTGTCTGCATTGTAATCGTTCTGACTTCCAACCATAAAGTGTAATCCGTCGAAGCATTGGATAACGCGATCCCGCCATAGATTGGACACATACAAATAGGAGCATGGTGTATATGGTCGCAAAGGAAAACGGTCCATAAACATGGGAATAAGCATTGTCATCACAATGTCGAGAGGCAGTTGGCGAACAAAGTCGATGCGTGTGTTTTGGCGCTGCTCAGCATCCATTTTAGCTCGTTTCAAATCATCATAGTGCTCATCCATGGCATCGACCACAGTCATCCCCTTACTGCAAATATCAACAACTTGACGTTGTTTCCCTTGTTCACTGTAAATATCTGCTTCGCGTATATATCCAAGGGATGAAGAAGGTGAAAGCTGTTGCATGAGCTTGGCATCGTGAAGAGCAGCTTCAAAGTTGGCACATTTTGACAACCCAATGGCGCGTCGATCTAAGGCTGACAGGACCGGTTCAAGGGATTGGTGCAGTTGAGTGTTTGAATCGTGGACAAGCTGTGCGTATTTTTGAGAAGAGGCAGTAAGGGTGGGTTGATTGCATGAATCCTTCCAAATAGAGCATGTCATTGGTGGGTTGGCTCAAGAAGAAGATCGTAAACCAATTCCAGCAACAGCACTCCTTTCACTTTCTCAGACTTTTACTTTTCCCTCTCCTTGTCGACAATCTTCTTTCGTCTTTTGCCATCAGATTGATGAGCAACCCAGCATTCGTCTCTTGGTTACGCGTCAACTCAATGACAATTGTACTTGCCTGCTATTTTCTTGTACCTGTTTCAGCTGCATCTATTCACAAACTACTGCTTGTACGCTTGGCAATGACACCCAACCCTCCCCAACTTCTCATACACTTGATGTCGCCTCACTTTCTCACTATCTTGGCGTTCACCTTGCTCATAGTGTCTACTGGGAAGGCACTCAACACGGCCATAGGATCTGTACCTGCTACCAACAAACCAAGGCGTCTCACAAACTTGCCTAAGATCACGTTGGTATGATTACAGTTTTTGGTACGTGGATTATTATCGGAGGCAACGTGGTCAGTATTCAAACGGGGGGGGGGGACTTTTTCTTTCAAGGTGCTCATCTTCGCCATCATCAGCAGCTACTTTTCGATACATCACCTTCTCGTACGCTGAGTTATGGATGTTTCATCGACCAGATCAAAAGCAAGTCCTGCATCATGATCCAGTTTCCATCTTGGCAGCTATTGTTGGATCGATTGGTATACCCGAGGCCAAAGTGAAGTACTATGATTGGGATAATAGGTAGGGTTTGGATGATGGATATTTGCATGTTGAAAGCGGATTGGACTTGGGTATACATTGAGTGGAGAACTATACATGTTGGATGAAGGTATGGTAAGAACACTGGGAGCTGGGATACGGCGCTGCATACTTTGCTAGTCTTGTTAGCGTAGCTTTACGGTTTATGAAAATAAAAGGCATCAGCATAAAAAGATGACAGTATCAATCGTATGATTTATTGTATGGTATAAATAATTGGGATCTGACAAGAATAGTACAAAGATAGAGCTACGTTTAAATCAACCCCAACCTAACGTGCCGTAGTTTTTCACCACAATCTTGAGATCAGGTCTTGTAGCTTTGAAACGATCAAGGTCCACCGGATCCAGTGCAGATTTAGGGAACATTTGAATACACTTTAATGACAATGGTGAAAATGATTGAAGCGCCTCCCAGAAATCAGTGCAGCCTTGCATACCCTCGATGGAAAGCACCAACTCTTCAAGAGAGTCCAATTGTTTTAGGAGGTTGAGTGAATCGATAGATAGGGCTTTTTTGTAATTGATGTCAAGGAATACGATATGAGGACACCCATTTACAAGTTTCTTTACGAATCGATCCATGTTTGATGTATCCCATTCCAAAGGAAATCCGATCATCAGGCGTTGTAGATGATTCAGACGGCAGATAGCTTCATGGATGAGTGAAAAATCTTCACAATAGAGATGGATCTCTAAATCCCTCAAGCGCGATCGCTCCTTTTGCCGAGCATAATAGTTGATATAGCTTGCGATGGCTGCTTCTTCACTACTGCTTAATTTTCCAAGCCGCATAACTAGTCTTTTGAGATTCGGTGGTTTGGTGCCTAGTATAGCGGGATGCGTTCTGACCACGGAAGTCATCATGCACAATTCTTCAAGTGCAGGTGCTTTACTTGGTATCCACCAACCAAAACAAGGATTCATGTCGGAAATAAAGCTTAGAGAAAGACGTTTCAGACAAGGGTAGCTTATGGTGTAAAGTGCATCGCCATCATGGATGTCGCCTTTCAATTTCAACTCCACGTCAACAAGTGTATGGTGATGCTGCTTTAATACGCGTGCCATGTCATTGCAAATATCATTCTCCCATTCGAAGCTCCCAATACAAAGTTTGGAGATGCCCTTATCCGCACGCTCTGTGTCAAACCCCTCAGCCTTTATTTCCATCCTCTCGTCATCATAAAAGAGATCAAGGCTTTGCATCCAAGGATAATGTTTTGGAATGTCGAAGATGGACTGCATATGAGGGCATGGGTCAAGCTCAAGTTGTTGGAGTGATGGAAACCGTTTCAAAATCCCCAGTACGTTGCCATGTGTAATATCCTTTATGGCTTGCATCAAACGTAATGTCTTTAATGTAGGGTAGGTTGCTGCTACTATCGGTAACGAATCGCAGTTGGTATCATAAGGATTGACCATCTTCAAGGAGACCAAGGTGGTACAGTTGGAGACAACATCCGCCAAGGAGAATCGATAGGCACGATCAATGTGCACCGAAAAATGGGTCAATGTAGTGCTGACAGCTTGCAATGAAGAAGCGAAATGCTTGACGAGTCCCACCTTGAATGCTAATTGGATGATGATGATGATGATGATTGAATACATGCGTACATGCCTTTGGGAATAGAAAAAAACTTACATTTGATGATGAGCCTCTCCAAAGAACGCAAGTCGCCATAACGTAATAATTCGCCCAAACACGTTCCTTGGGTACATGTGTTGACGTAGAGTGCGGTTGTATGTTGAGCAAACTGAACAACTTGCTCAAATGCTTTCCCTTCGCATCCTTGACCATATCCAATCCCAAAGCTTAATCCTCCACAGCCTTTGATCACAAGGTCACGCCACCTACGCGACACGTACAGATACGGACATGGCGTTGCTGCATGAGAAATGACACCATTCATAAACATGGGAACAAGCATTGTCACCACAATATCCACTGGCAGTTGGCTGATAAAATCGATACGTTTGTTGTCTTGTTGCATGGCATCCATCATAGCTTGTTCGAGCTTGTGATAATCAGGATCATCGACCACGCCGAATCGTAGTCCCTTTTGACATATCGCTATAGCATCACGTTGTTTTCCTTGTTGACTATAGATCCAGGCTGCACGTAAATAGCCTCGTGCTGACGATGGCAACAGCTGTTGCATTGTGGCTGTGTCGCGAAGAGCCCATTCAAACTTGGCACACCGAGTCCAACGAATGGCACGCTCGTCTAATGCTGACAATTGACTTTGAAGAGTGGCATCGGAGGCAAGGTTTTCGTGTTGTTGATAGGATGCTGCGAGCGTCGGTGGTGGTTGGCAAGGCTCGTTGTCATTGCAAAGAGTCTGTGTCATTACTTTTGGTTGAACAAAGAAGCCGTTCACAATGAGGCGGAGCACGTTGATCAAATCCAGTTGCATGCCACTACTCGTGATACACGTTTACCATAAACATCGTCTCCTATCCATTGAGCCACATCCAATGTCAATCCTTCCAAGAGATAATAGATGATCCCCTGGACAACCATCTTGTCATAATAAACTTACCAAACATTCCAGTAAATCGCTGATCCACATGTTGCCTTGGTTCCATCCCAATTTAGATAATCATGCATGTCTTCTGTTTGTATCTTACCCAAATGAGAAAATACTGTACCCCTCGCATGCTAGCGTACAATTCAAGGATCCGTACAATTCGAGGACAAGCATTCTCATTACACAGTAACATTACCCAAGTGCATGGATGAGTGCAACACGCACATACAACCATACAGCGGCCTCGGTTGCTGGTGTGGGTGCATTATGACAAGCATGTCAAACATCCAAACCTGGTATGTGATTATGATTGCATCTGGTATTATGGTTGTTGGTTTGATGTAAAAAAGGCTAAACAAAACGGCATGCAAGGTACTTGGGTACACGATTGGCCATATTGTGAGGGTACCAATTGGAATGTCGCATGAGTTGGAAAATGGCGTCCGTCACCTTCGCGCAATTTTACACAAGGTGCCCTTTGCACAAAGTGAATACCCTCGTTACAATGTTTCTAGTACCCATCTGTTTGAAAACCATATTGAGGTCGTTTCGTTTATACACCTCAACATAGATAAAAATCAACGTTTATTAAATAAAGATAGCCAATACAAGTACCACTATCCTTAGGACTCGTTCAATAACAACATCGGTCTGCTTGCTTTATTGAAGAATACTAAAGATGGTAGAATGGCGGGTACTCGATCACTGAGAACTCTATACTAATACTAGGCCCCGAATACGCTTTGTCGTTGCATAGATCCTTTATAACGGCCATGATCGTCAACGTCCTCAAATTGTACTAGGTCAACTTTGAATTGTACTAGGTCAATTTTGAATTGTCCTAGTACAAATTTGAATTGTACAGATCCTCGAATTGTACGCCAACATCCCACAGCTAGATTGTTACTGTTATTGTGCTTTGAATGGCGCGTTTGCCACTTCCCAACCATAAAGATGGATGTTATGTACAGCTCTTCTACACGTACAACATGGCCAGCATCCATGATGGTCTCTTAAGGAATCCGAGAATGGGCGGGGATGTGGACCAACAAGCAAAGCAAGTTTCACTTGCAGCATTGTTTATCCTTTCGAGCGCAAAATGATGGCTCTTTTAAGATGAATGCTTAATAAATACAATGCTTCCTCGCTTAAATCCCCTATGCAAGTACCCAAGTTATGATATGAGGATACAGAGGGATAAGCATGATGTTCGATGTGTGTCTTCAGCGATAATAATTTTATACAGTAGTATGCATCATGTGTATGGGGATTCAAAACGCCACGAGGTATACCCTTTTGTGTATAAAAAGAGATCGGATTGTGTTTGTCTATTATTCAACAACAAGCACCTCTTTTTGCAAGCACTCTAAAGTTCGAAAATGCGCGCCGTTACTCTTTTCGTTGCCTCCGTTGCCCTCTTGTTAATCTCTTCAAGCACTGCTGATGCCGATATTATACAGGACTGTTACGACGTGTGTAAATACGACGGTGACTGCATGTGCCGCTGCCTAGGTGGTTGCACTTAATCGATACGAGACCTTGCGGACGTGGTGTGGTATTTCCAATCTGAAGGCAAGCAGAATCTTATTCCATGATTTCCCAGCACACTATGGATACAACACCCATATTAGGAAATAAACAAGCATCACGCTATTATCTTTCTTCAAAGTGATAACAACCTTGTGCATTGGTTGCCTCTAATGTTGGCAGCATCAGGAGTACTCATGATTATGATATGAAATGTGCCTTTTAAAGTATGGTGCTACCTATGAAGAGCACAAGGTGTTATGATGATTTTACAAGGAAATGGAGAATGGGGTAACCATGGCAACTATGTTTACACATTGACCTGATCATGTGAGTTATTCCTGGCTTGTGTTTGTCAGTCCTATCTTTAGTAACGCGTTTATAAAACCATCCCAGAAACAAAAGTTGTGCAATTGATGGCATTACAAAAAAACAAGCATCTTTTCATCCAACATCCTTCCATGATAACCACAGCCAGCAGGCATGGAAACATTTACCCGCCAATAGATACCAAACACCCAGCCGACAAGTTGGTAGCACCATCCCATAACTTCAAATATCGGTTTATTGTGTCATGCTTTACAAGGTTTCATGGAGATTTTACCACCTCTAACTATAAAAATGGATGATGTGTGCAACTTTTATTCACACACAACATGACAACAGCCATCGTGGCCTCTTAACGGACCCACGTAAAGGGGTACCAGCTACCTGTGTGGGCAAACAAATAAAGCATGATCGACTTGCAGCATTGTTTATTCTTCCGAGTGCGATATGATAACTCTTTTTGAGATGAACGCTATTTTAAAACCATGGCCCATTGCTTAGATACATTGTGATGCTAGCACCCAAGCTATGAAATGAGAATGCAGAGGGATAGAAATATGTACACGATGTATGTCTTTGATAGTAGTGCACGTGTAATCGTATGCATGCGGAGTACGCGAAAAAGAGCCCTTGCTGCAATACGTCAACACTGGATAACATCCCAGCATGATGTTTGTTGTCTGTATCATGCTGCATGATACGTATGCAGCACCTAATTTCGCCTATAGATCATTCTTTTTGCAGGTTATATGCAAAGAAGCGCCAATCGTATCATACCATCTCTGTATACAAAACATCACCCCTGGTTGCTGTTATATGCAAGAAACCCAAGCATGTTCCAGCTGTGGCTTCCATCATGCTCTGCTGTTTGGCTAACGGCTATTTCGGAGGGGCTCACGTGTATTTGTTTGCCAGCAGCGACTAGAAAATGGTTGTCAAACAAGCGTCAGGCAAATGAAAGGGTCTTGCATACGAATGGCGCAATACCACGTAGTCAGTGACCAAAAGTATGTCAAATAACCGACATGCAGGTAATGTGTATATTGCACTATTGCATTCTCAGAACGTGTCGGGTACATCTTTATTGATTTTGACGCTTCGAATGCATCAATGTATTTTCACAACATAAACACCTACATGCAGGTATACCTTCCATGATTGGTATCAAAATCAAGGACCTAGGCATATGAATGGTATACATCTGTTACTGCGGATGCTATAGTAACGAGACTTATCTACCTTAGTTATGGTTGCTAACATGCAACACCTCACCATTTAAGCAAACACGTGTCGAGGTCATATATTATACAGGGTATATCCAATGCAGGGTACGTTACATGCATGAATCGAGATCGGCAGCATCATTGTTGTAGTGGTGGATGTTTCCATACAAGACGTTGAACATCTCGTATGCATGTTGCTTCTCATCCGTAGCGACGCATCCTTGCCAAAGGGCAGATTTTTGTCTATAAAAAGAGCTCGGATTGTGTCTGGCTATCATTACCAACATCGCTCAACAACAGCAAGTACCTCTTTTTACAAGCACACCAAGTACCAAAATGCGCGCCGTTACTCTTTTTATTGCCTCCGTTGCTCTCTTGTTAATCTCTTCAAGCACTGCCGATGCCTATACCAAAGAGGAATGTAATAAAATCTGCGGAATACAGAACACCGAATGCCAGTGCTATTGCCAAGGTATTTGCCGTTGGTAAGCCATACAAGATCTTGCGAACCTGGTGTGGTGACTCGACTTCAAAGCAAGCAACATCTCTATTCTATGGATTCGCAGCACAGGATGGATAGAACACTCGTACAAGGAAATAAAGCACTACGTGATTACCTTTGTTTAAAGTACCTATGACAACCTTGCTCTTTGCTTGCCTCGAATGTTTTGCAGGATAAGGAGAACGCATGTTCATGATACTAAATCTTCACGATGATCCCCATGACGACAACAAGGTGTTATGATGATCTTACGAGGAAATGGGGGTGCGTAAAGCCACGACGACTCGTTAATTTAATCATGTGAGTTATCCTTGGCTCTGGCTTATCATTCGCAACACGTTATAAAAACCTCCGAGAAACAAAAAGTGATGGCGTATATATAAAAAGACAATCATCGGAAATTTTCCTTTTTCTTTTTTCATGGTCCATTCACCTGAAGAGCAGCTGCTGTCATTATCCCCAGCCCCGAGTTCTCGACGCAATTCAAACCATGTGACTCAAGAATCATTTGCTAACCTGTATGATGATGGCAGTGATCGACAGGAATCGCAAGCAGGTCCTTCGAGCATTGTCATGACGCATGATATTAGGTATAACAACAATCATCCTTTGAAAAATGTGCTTTAACAATACATGTATAAAAGTGCAATGTATACACCTTTTTTCGAATGTCCTATTGTTACCCATGATCTATATATCCCACTACCTACGACCATTCGTGGCTACATCGAAGTACCAAAAGGCAAATTCACTCATCCACCTTATCCTTTACGTAAACGCCAACCGGAATGCAAACGTCTCGAGCGTACATATCATCCATTCCTTGACAAAGAGAGCCATATTGTAGAAAGAGAGGGACCATCTTTATTTCGACGAGCTACAAAACGGCATAGTCTTGCAAGTGGCCAAATCGATCGACTTGTACATGCACGTCGAGGTGCAGCAGCAGAGATTCATGATCCAAAACATCAACAGAATAAATCGGATACTGGTGTCTTTTGGCCAATGGTGACAACATCTCCTCCACCTCCTCCACCTCCTCCACAACAGCAACAGCAACAACTACAACAACCCGTTCCTAACAATGGACCATCTCGTATTGCATTTGATGCCCATGTTGACCATGACAATATATCACCAGCCGTCTCACCCCCAAGACATCCATTTGAACGATAAACAAAGATTACCGACATCATCCACTTTATAAAAAGGCCATCTTTTCATGCATTACATTGTCAAATGGTGGGATCCAAATCGTTTACTTTATATCAACATGGGAAATCTTGCTCTCTAAAAGTTGTCGTACGTCATCAGGGAATTCAGGAATCGCTAGCACCAGGGATGTCAATTTTGGGATAGTAACGAGACCAAGGATATCTGTCCAATGCAAACCAATGCCGGAAACATGGACGCGATGGAGACGAGGATGTTGATGAAAGGCAAGAATGATACCAGGAGGAACAATATTTTCGCAATCGAATTCAAGCGACTCAAGGTTTAAGCAACCCTTTGCAAGCGTATCGATCACATCTTTGTATGTATCCGGAATATGTCTATCCTGGATCGATATCTTCAAGGAAGTCAAACGATGCAGCTGCGTAATGGCATGGAGCCAAGGTGATACTTCGGTCTCATAGTGAAGCGCAAGGTGAAGTTCTTGTATTGGTGAAGCATCGCCAAGACGAATATGATGTTGGATCAACCGATGGATGGATTCCCAGTAGGGTGGCATTGCCCATAAACGTAAGCTTTTCAGATGTTGCATAGGTGAAACGACGCCAAACAGATCCATGTCTCCTCCCAAATCCGTCATGATGGTAAGTGTTTCAATAAAAGGTGCACGACGAATGATCCATGCTGCCAATGGAAAGAATTCAGGGTCGCATTTAAAGGAGAGTGTGCGTAAATGGTTGAATTCAAGCGTGGGATCATCATGTTGGGAAACACATGATGCATCCATCCCGCCAGCGAGTTGGATTTCTTGTAGTGTAGCATGATGTTGCTTGAGAAGAAACATGACCTCCTCCACATTGTATTCATCATGGATTTCACCAATAGTCAATTTCTCAAGACCTTGCTTGTCGTTGTAGATGAGATCATACTTCATTTTGGTTCCATAGCACAACAATGTCAACTGGGGGCAGTGGTTGTGGATGATGGTCAAGAGGCGTACATCAGGCATAGGCGAAACAGCCAATGATAAAAGGGATGGAAGATGGCTGACGATATTCACCATCATCTCGTAAGGAATAGCGGGTCGGTGTGAACTGTGTAAATTGAGATGGGTCATACTTGGATAGGACACGGATAACCTGTCAGGTATCTTGTAATCGATGCCGCTTGCTTCCAATGATTGCAAATGAGGACACGTATCCAAAATATCCCTGAGGCTGATGAATGTGTTGCTGACTTGCGGATCGATGATGGTGATGATCAAACGTGTCAAGGTTTTCCCCACCAAAGCAAGACCATCCAGCAGATTCTTTTGGTTCCTTGCAACGATACCTTTGTATATGAATCAATCAGACTCCGTAATCAACCCAATGTAGCTATTTAAAACTTACAACCGATGAATAAATGGGAAAGATGAGACCAATCATGCTTAAGAAAAGCAACCATCTTATGATCCGCTGGAGGCCCTTGCATGTTGCTCATCCATAATGACTTGGTGTGAGTGCCGTATTTCAAGGGTTGATGAGGATTGTCGATCAAGTTCATGTCGACACTGTAGCTGAATGGATTGCATTGCAGTATACGTCGTTGCCAAGTGGGTGATACATCAAGATAAGGACAGGGCGTTTCAGGATCCATCAAATCCGTGTCGTCAAATAGCAATGGGACAATGTTGGTGGCAACAAGATCATTGGGTAGCTGGCTGATGAAATCGATTCGTTTGCCATCCGCATACAATGCATCCTTGCGACATGTTGTCAGCTGTGTGTAACCTGGATCATCACTCGAGGATGTTGTTACAACAAGACCTTGATCATACATGGCTATTGCTTCTCGTTGTCGTCCTTGTTGCTGATAAATCTCGCCTGCTTTCAAGTATCCAAGAAAAGATGTTGGGCTGATAACTCGCATAACGGCTGCATCGCGCAAGGCAAGTTCAAAGTGGGCTCCATTCGCCAATGCCGTCGAGCGCTCATTGAGTCTCTCCACCAATTGACATGCAAGTAGTGTGATGTCTTCCGTTGCGGTCGAAATAGCCGTGTCTCCTTGTCCATGAAAAGTCTTGATAGTTGGTAGTGGGCTTATGGTAATTGTATCCATCCTTAAGCAAAAAGACAGTGAGATGATGATGGAGTTTGCCGATAGCCGATATTTTATACACACCAGGTTACTCGAATTCCCCAATACGTGCATGATCGTGTAACGCTTTTCTCATTGTCATTCACAATAAAGAGAACCCCAGGATAGAGCAGAATTCCAAGAAACAGAAATGACTTGGTCAAGCGATGGGGCTTGTTGAGAATGCTTCATGAGTCGAATTGACCCTCCAAGAAGAGTGAACCATTTTGAGAGAAGGCAGATTCATGCAGCAGCAACGTGTCCGGTTTCCAGGCAGATCACATGTTTCAAAGCGTCCAATCAAGATGAGCGTGCAAGGCAAGACACACACACACCGAGGCTACCCATGGTCCCTGAAGGTCATCACCAACACCATATCCAATCCTTATCTCTATAATATAAGCCTCGTTTTATTTCTGCTCCATAAAATATCCTACCAACCACTAGCAACCTACCTGGAAGTAAACCCGTATTCGCTTCATCCATCATATCCACGGAGACCATACTTCGTTGCCATAGCAAATCATCCTCTTCCCGTCAATCCCTGGTGCGCCATCTACCAAACATGCTGATGAGTCTTGTGTGTGCGTCAAAGGAATATCATGCTGTTTCTTGTACCAGCACCTCCTTGCAAAAAGCTGTTGGGTCGCAACGAGTCATCATCCTAGAGCGCATTTCCTAGTTGCCCAAGTATGCTTAGAATACTGCTTCTCACAATGTGCTGCTGACTCGCTGTGTCGTTGCTTGAAGCGTGAAGCTTGAAGCGCTTGGAGAAAAAAAAAGAGAGAGAGAACCACGTCAATGGTCAGTGAGCTCATTCCACCTTCCACAGGGAGGACCTACTGTGATCTACTGCTCGGCATGTTGATGTAAAGAATAGTGTTGGTTACCAATGCCGGTCGTGTGGGGGGTGGGGTGTAGGAATGCGTGACAATGGTGAAAGAAAGAGAGCAAGCTGGATGCTTTTGGCCACGTCGCCTGGGAAACTTGAATCATCACACAGCTGTGTAACAAGATGTTGCCATGCGTTTTTGTTTTTCTTACAATACACCCTGGTCCTCGATATTAGAAGCTGTAGTACATCTCTTTTTGTATTAACATCAAATGAACATAAGACAATAGTACGCTTTGCTCCCATTGTGGTGTGTGCATGTATGCATGATAGATGGGGCTGTGTGTATGTGTGTGTGCACAAGGTCAAAAACGCCGCGATGATGCAGCTGCGCCACTGTAGTATAAAAGGAGACGTCTATGCATGTTGCATCCCTCTTTCCTTTTGAAGTATTATAATGACTAGCCTGTCAACCAACTTTGTCACTGTTTTCCCATCAGAAATATCAGGTCATGTATTTTCCTTCCTTCCGCAACACGATCGAATCGAGTATGCAAGGGTGTGCCGATTATGGCGAGAGGGGATTTTATTGCATCGTTGGGATCCACATACATGGTGTTCCTATGACCTTTTATTGTACTCTCTTCATCAAGACCTTGTATTCTTTGCAAAAGTTGCACCATACATTGAGGAGCTCCACGCCTTTGATCGCACCTATGATGATGATGATGAAAAAGCAGTACACGTGGACATGGATCATCTTGCCATGTTAACATCCATAACACTACCCAAGCTTCGAGTCCTTGGTAAGATGTTTATTACTTTTTGTGTAGTGCAATACTAAAATGGGATGATAGACTATGTCTGCTTTGGTTTACATCGGAACGTGTTGACGCGATTACTTGGTCACGTGGGCGCACAACTCGAACGACTCGAGATTAAAATCGAGTACGAATCCAATACCTATTGGCCACCATGCATCCATGAGATCCTCCAGCACTGCCCACAACTCCAACACCTTACATACAATGCTGACTTTTCAAATGACATTATGATTCAAGATTTCGAAGCAGCAGACGACGAACCACAGCATCAGCAGCGAGCCAAGTACCCATTGTTGCAAACATTACAACTTGAACGTGAAGATTTTCAAACGTCCAAGCTATTACCTTTTCTACGCGCATGTCCACACCTACGTCGTTTACATTTAAGCTCTGCATTGGTATGCAACGTAGATCTATTATTAGTGTTCGACACGTGTCCAGCATTACAATCATTAGAGATCGACGTCAAGCATGATACGCGAGAGATGGATAAACTTTATTGGTGGAAAGCAGCTTGGACACACCATCCTTTGCATGATGGTAATGTAGCATCACACGGCTTGTCGCATTTGATTGTAACCAACTTATGCCGCACGCATCAACTCTACGCTCTCAATACCATTGTGAATCAACATTACCAGACACTGAAGCATATAGAGGTGGCCATTTCAAATGACCTTGACACCCATCATACTGGAAGCAAACATGAAGCCATTTGCAATGCACCACCTCATCTTGAAAAGTTGGATTATCATTTTGGTCGACATCAATACATGGATGATGATTTGGAGTTTCTGATTCGTCCACACCTTGAACAATGCCTACAGCTGACATGGGTCTCTATCAAGGCTGATACTGGCAACCATCATCATCCAATTTTACCACGATGGGCATTTGAAGCTCTTGCCCAATTATCCGACTTGCGCCATCTTTGTATCCAAATACCGAATGATCCCAATGACATGATTTACTTTCTCAACACAATCAAGAAGCGTAAAAGGATGGTGTTGACATCGCTGTTGTACCAAGGTTTATGGCTATCGAATATAAAAGTGATACGAGCGATTGTTGCAATTCCTTCGTTACAATGCCTAGCTTTGAGTGTACCATCCATGCATGAGCACGTGCCAAGAAATGAAATGCTGGAAACGCTGCAGCTTTTACAAGGCGCTCCATGCCTACAATCACTTGCATTCACCAACGTCAACGGGTTTGGTCCACACCGTGTATGGAAAGAGATTCGTGATATGCCCCATCTTGAGCAGCTTTACATTGTGACCTATGCTGTTACTAGCAAAAAAGGCATACGTCATCTTGCTAATCGTCAACCACCCTTAAAGGCACTCGTCATTATGGAATCATCCGATGATTGCTATCACCGCGAACGTGACAATGATTTATTGCAAACTTTGGAATATGCAAGGACCAAAATCAAGATCGTGCGTGGCGAACATGATTGTGGAAAATGCTGTCAACCTCGAACAAATAAAGAAGCACGCATGTATGGGCTGTAAATAAGCACAAACTTCATAAACCCATCCCATGTCCTATAATACCAAACTCTACACCCATCAGTATAAGAGATCCCAAAGCCCATTCATCCTTTGAAACGTGTTGTAAAAGCAAATACATTGTTACACCATACAAATGATTCAGGTAGTACATGAGTGCATATCAATGGGGAGTGCTATCGTGCTGTTGTGTTGTGAGTAGATCCATCCTTCATCCAATAATAGTGGCCACAGCTGTGCGTTCCTTGTGTATCGACACACCTCGTAGACCATCGCTTGCGTAATCATCCGTCTCCACTTTGTTGAGTCACTCATCCAATAAAGCCCCATGCATAATATCCAAAGATACCCAAAGAAAACTGTGTCAATGCTGTGGAAGCCATCCCCATCCTCATGTTGATTGACAGATCACATGTTGTCTTGTATAAGTGAATGAACGCGATGTTGGTCATCCATGGCTGTCATTGTACCATTGTTGGAGGTGGTGGTTGGTTATGTCGATTGGTCCATAAGGATGATCCTGATAAAAGCAAATTGAGTGTGTGAGAGTGTCATCAACAATATCGGATAGTGTGTTCCCCTCCCAATCAGCAGGCTCAATCATCCATCCTCAGCATACAATCCCACTTGAATGGCCCCATTTACCTTGTCGATATCCGTTCCAGCCATAGCCAAGTACCATTCGAAAGTTGAAGTACACCATCTTGCGCCTCACTGTTCTGGAATCCAACCATGGAGGGTCCATCATCATGTACGATGCTGCTCAAAGTCCCCTTAATCTTCATATCCCGTAGCTTGAGTAATGCCAGTTGCCAAAGAAAGGATCCATCACCATCATCGATAATGCTATATTCCACAACAAAAGTGTTTTAGACGTGATCCCTTTTAGGCGCCCCCACAATACGCTTCACGCTTACCATGATACGTTTGAAGAGCATTTGAATAGCTGCTATTCCAAGCTGTCTCGTATGTTGCTCAATGCAAGTCCCTGAAGTCGACAATGGAGAGAGGATATGCCGGATGCGGTTGTCGACTACATTACGCGCAAGAAGAAAGCGAGCTCCAGCCATGCGACATGTTCTTAACACTGGTAAGCGCGTGCAAGGTCGTCATCGGGAACCAGTGATGCCTGTTTATGGGTGTCTGTTCATGAGTTCTGGCAAGTGAGTTTGGTGGAATGTGTTGGTGTCATGTAGTGGTGAAGAAAGAGATGCTTCGAACAAGTAATAGTGTTGCAAGTGCCATTGTTGCGAGCGATGCTGAACGAAAGACGAGGTTGGTGTTGAGAAGAAAGGTTGCCTCAAATCCTCACAGCACACGTCGGTTGTTTTTATCTCCTCTACCAAGCTATACCTTATACACTCAAGACAGTGTCATGTTTTCTATACCAAGGGTACACTTATCATATCATCATGAATAAACCTGTTGTATTTAAAGGATAAAGTCACTAGTTGAAGGTTGCAGAAAGATAGTAAGGATCTCCCCACACATATCGAAGTATCTTTCTCCAAACCCATACACTGATAAAGAAAGAAATGGAAAGGCCAAAGTGTGATGAAATAAAGCTAGACCCAAGGATCACTACATTTGAAGTGGGGGAGTCGCTTGAACAATGGAAGCACATGTTCGGTGATGCAGCCCACTATCCTTCCAAGATGCTTGATGAGCTAAAGTTAAAGCTGGCCCTGTTGTATTGCACAAGAAGGCCCTTAAATGGCTTGGCCACCATGATTAGTCAACACAGAAATATTTCATTGCTCGTCTTGAGAATAAACGCTAGATGAAAGGAGCCACTGAAAGGCTACGAGACATACAACGCAAGAAGAGTGAATCACCCAAGATTCCATTGATCGTTTTGATGACGTGAAATGACAACATGTAGACAAGTAGTAGAGTAGGAGGGCTTAGTCACAAGGTTACAAGAACGTGAGATGTGTAATTTGTCTGTGGGAGTGCAAAGATCCGAGACCATGAAGATGATCATGTCATAGTCAAACAACCAAGAACTCTAAAAGAGCCCATCCGATACAATAGGATGCTGGAGACGATGATACCAATGAACATGAGCTCTTTGGATGGTTTCAGCAGCAGTGATTCAACCTTGGATAGCACCTACGGTTAGGCTATGAGAAACGTGGTACCAGAAACAAAATCAAAGATAAAAAAAAGTCAACCAAAACATAAAGAAAGATCCAGAGGCAAGTCGCCATCTAAGAATACATCCAAGGTCAATGATACTAAGGATGCCCATTGAGGGGTTGATCAAGAGGATGGGATATCATGCAACACCAAGGAGTAATGAAAATGTCGAATAGCTACTTATACACTAATAGAGCTAAAGGTGCAGAAAGGCGTGTTTGTGTAGAAGAGACACTTGTTCAGGACTTAAAGGTCAATGCCTGATACCTTTGCACTATTTAGTAATAGGCCATATATTGACGGCTAATAGCCACCTTTTCCCAATCAGCGCTGTTGTGCAATTAAAGACATAGAAACGATTCTCCTGGTGCAGACATTCACTTCCATGTCTCAACTTTTTTGATCCGAGCCAATTTGACTGAGCTACGCTCGAACAAAGAAACATCAGTTGAGGTAGATAGACCATAGCTGTATGTGTGGAGTGATATAACCTCTCTTGGACCGTAGCTCAACCAAATCAGCTCGGACCAACAAAGTCGAACGATGGAAATGAATGTCGTGAGCAGGAGCATTGTTCACATGATATACAAGGCATACCAGCCATGATTAGTAGGAAGTGGTTGTTATGCGGCAATTTATGAATGATGGCTACATAGTGTATATATATCATTCATTGATCTTTTAGTCCTACCTTCTTTGCTTTATTATGTAAACACGGCCTTGTGCACCTTTCGCACTATTAGGGCAGGTAGGATTGACAATTTTTTTTGTATGGCCCTTGATGGGGCTTGTTTTATTTATGCGACCTGAGATGTATGTGTATGTGTGGATTTGTGTGTGTATGATAAAACGTATAACAAACAAAGTCTGTGAGATTGCTGTTTACTCTGAAAGTGTGTGTCTGGGAAAAGAGACGTCTTTCTATCGATCTACCTCTGAGTACTATAACTAGGCGGATGCTAAAGAGTAAAGCTTTTCTACCAATAACAAGCTATATCGTAAATGAGTAACGGGCTGAGTTGTATATGATGATCCACGCTTGTGTATCATCTCTTGTATGCTTATGTGCTTGTCTTTTGTATGTACAATGATAAAGATGATGATAATGAATACATGATGTGTACCTTAACCGATCCATATACACGACACGACCACGTATATGCAGAGTGGCGGTTGGCGTTGACCGCGGCAGGTACAAATTGTGAAAGGGAGAGGAAGGATTAAACAGGATCATAGGTCCTCAATGAAGAGGAACTCCCCTAGGAATGATGATGATGCTATGGAGGCTTGCCTTGTTGCTTAAGTGTGACAGAGAGTCGTTCTAAGATGGAAGGCGATAAAGTGGCAATGATATTTTTGGCTTGATCAGACATGGGATACGTGTGAATGATATGCTTGTGGAGACTTGATTGGTGCTGAGGCTGTGGTGGAGGCGTATTGTCGTTAACATCATCAGGGATGAAGTCGCTGATGATGTTGTCATTGTGGTTCTCGATGGGCGAGGGGTCAACGCGGAGCATTGATACATCGGATGATTGGCTGGAAACAGATTGAGTGGCTGGTGACTTGATGGGCATTGTGGTGGTAACAGGGTTTGATCGGCGGTGAAACATTTGGCGGCACGGTGGCCCTTTTGGCCACACATGACCAACAAATACGAGAATGCTTGGGATGTTGAGGGGTGAGGGCAAGAGGAGGTGGTGGCTGAGGTAAACAAAGATGAAATAGGATGAAAGCAAAGGAACACAAAATAAGAAGTCTCTTTGAGATTGATATTTATTCTGAAGACGATGCTCCAGTGCTTTTATATCTTAATTCTAGTATCGTGGGTGTAGTATACTGATAGAGAAGGATGAAGAAAGGATGAGTGTGGTGATGCATGTAAATGTGGTCGTATTGGATCATGCATACATATGGTGGAAAGCGGGTGAGATATAAAGATCCGCATGTGCTTGCATTGTTATGATGGATAATGTTTAACCGATAATCTCAATGTCACTTGATATACGTGTGCACCACAGTGGCTACAACATTTGCGATGACGGGGAATGTAAATTGTCTCGCACTCATTTGCGTCCTGCGGTGAAGCCCAGTGCCAACAAGAGATGCCTTGAACGTGGTTGCTTACTCTGCAACAAGAAACGTGTTCACCATAGCTGTCCTGTCAAGGTGTATTACAAGTTTACCCCAAAGGGATGTGAGATGCACCATCAAGGAAAGCACTCCCATAAAGTTTATGGGCGATCACACCTCTCAAACATGCAACAAAGGCAAATGGATGACTACGTTAAGCGATACCCTGCAATCACACCAAAAGCAGCAGTCTTTGGTATTGATCAGCAATCCAGGCGAGTCATCGAACCAACCACTGATATCGACCCTTGCATGATTAATCGTGAGAGAGTGGCATACAAGATGAAGAAAGGTAAAAGAGCAATTGGCATACCAAGTGCAGCAAGCGATCCATTTGCAGCATTCAGCAAGATTCAAGCCCATTATTCATTTCTCATCACGCCTGCAAACATAGTCGAACAGCAATTCTTCATCTCATTCAAACCGCCAACGATCGAGATTTTTGTGAATTTCGCCCATTATCCGATTGTGACAGACATCACATACAAGGCGGTCAAGGATTGTTATCTCTGCTCCTCGGTGATTTATTCAACTGAGATTGAAAAGCATGTGGTTGTATTCCAAGCCATCATGAAAGGATGTTCAACAAGATACCATCAGCAATACTTCGTATTCATGTTCACCGCCTGCAAGCTCGACTTCGTCTCAGGGAAAGTGTTTGGAGTGGTCATGGATTTTTCTCTCGCACAGATAAACGGCTTCCTTAGCGTATACACATGTACTGTACACTGGTCTCAATGATGGGCACAAGTATTTGAAAGGTTGCTATATGCATCGGATGCAATCTGTTCAACGCGTTAGCAGTAACCATGTTGTATTCAGGCTATCCATCATACCCAATAAAGATCCAACATGT